AAAAGTGTGTGTGCTGGGTGAGTGTGGTCCTTCATGATGCAGGTGGCCCTCTTCCTGCATCTGGAGGTGTAAATGTCTGTGGTGGTGGGGAGACTGACTCCAGCAGACTTCTGTGCAGCCTTCACCACTCTCTGCAAAGCTTTCCTTTCTGCAGCTGTGCAGCCTCCATGCCATATGTTTTTCACAGTCATACCTTTTTATTACTGCATTTGCAACTTTATGATATTTGGCTATGATTGGAACAACTTATCTGAAGAAAAACGGAAAAATATCGAACCACAAAAATATTAACAAGATTTATCTTCTGCTCTCTTTCAGGTGTTTTACTTGAATCCTCGTTACATCCTGTTCATCCATCTGGTGGTGAACGATATGATCCAGCTTACAACCACAGTCAGCCTGTTTCTCATCAGTTACATCTTCTACAAAATTAATGCTTCTCTCTGTTGCCTCATTATTGTTTTTGCTGTCTTCACCACTTTAAACACTCCAATAAATTTAACTGTGATGGCTGTGGAGTGCTACATCGCTGTGTGCTTCCCCCTGCGACACGCTGAGCTCTGCACCGTCAAACGAACTTATATTCTGATTGTCTGTATTTGGGTTTTGAGTGCAGTGTCAATAATGCCTGATATCTTTCTCATTCTGGCCACCGAGCCTGCACGGTTATTTTTTTCTACAATATTCTGTGAAAGAGATAACCTGTTTAGACATCCAGTAAGTATACAAAAGAGGGATGTTTCTTATATAATTTATTTAACTTTAGTTTGGCTCACTCTCTTCTTTGCCTACTTCAGGATTCTTTTTGCTGCTCACGCAGCTAATTCAGCCGACAGAAATGTAAAAAAGGCCAGGAATACCATCCTGCTTCATGGCTTTCAGCTCCTCTTGTGTATGCTGACGTACATATATAATATGTTCAGAAATTCAATTGTACTTTGGTTCCCTAACCATTACGTACACATCCTCTTTGTTTGGTACATCATCATCCAGGTTCTCCCCAGGTTTGTCAGTCCCATTGTGTATGGGCTACGAGACAAGACATTCAAACAGCATTTGAGAAAATATTTGCTCTGTGGCATGAGAATAAATAACAAATCACTGCTCTCAGTGAAACTCATAATGCTTTCCAGATTTAAATCAAACAAATAAGAGTTGGGAGCAAATGGGTTTGTTTCTGTTTAATACTCTGATGCTTCAACCGCACAATACAGAAGCAGGTTTTGGTTTTATGACAAGTTTATTATGCTACCAAGTGAAGAAAGTAGCTGAACATTATGAATATTATTTCATAATCACGCCTACAGCTGGTACAGAATGCTGCTGCACGATTTTTAACTGATACAGGTAGGCGTGGGCACGTAACTCCAGTTTTGGTGCCCCTTCAGTGGCTTCCTGTCCAGTTTTAAATCCATTTTAAAGTTCTATTGTTTGTTTTTTAGTCTTTGAATGGTCTTGGTCCTTCTTATTTGTCTGAACTGCTTCACCTTTATATGGCATCACATGCTCTTAGATCCCCTGACCAGATACTTTTAGCAGTCCCGAATACCATTTATAGATCCAGGGGAGACAATTGTATTGTATTATTGTAAATACAGCTGGGAAGATAATTGGTATTCCACTGTCATCATTGCAAAATACAGTATATATTATATATAAGCAGGAGGACCATAGGTGAGTAGGTTTTAATCCAAATATGTGATGTTGTTGTGTAATATTGATTTATGTCCTTACTTGTAATGTTGTGATTTCCAGATCTTGGGTGATACTATCAGGCTGTGGTTATGTACTCAAGATGGAAGGAGCTTAGGAGTGCAGAGGAGCATGTGTTGTATCTTCAAAGCAGGCAGGATGGAAATCAAACCACAGAGTTGAGTAATCAAAAAGTCTCACAGTATCTCAGAGGAACCAGGGTTGGAACAGATCAGGGTTTTCAGAACATCCACAAGGGAACAGGTAGATTCAGGGCTTTGATGAGACTTATGTAAGGAGCAGAGATTAGATTAGTATTTTCAGAATTCGAAAGACACACGAAATTAATCACCATTGGTAACATAAGATCAAGCAGATATCTGTGACTCAGTCTCTAAAAGTGCCGGATACAAAGCTGATTAGGATCTGCTGTGCTCAACAGACCTGCTACTCACCAGCACCTGAAATAACAAAAAAGGATAGCAGAGAGAGCCAGAATATTACCACCAGCGCAGCTCAACCTATCTCCAAGTCTGAGCCCAGACACCCTGTTCCTTTCCTTTTGATCATGACCTGCGGTGGAAGTGGTCTCAATCAACAAGTACTTGGGTGTACACATGAATGACAACCTCAGCTGGAGCAACACCACCACCAGCCTGATCAAGGAAGCTCATCAGAGACTCTACTTCCTCAGGCAGCTGAGACGAGCTGGTCAAGGAAGCTCAGTCCTCACCTCCTTCTACAGGTGTGCAGTGGAGAACATCCTGTGCTCCAGCATCAACGTGTGGCATGGAGGCTGCACTGCTGCAGAAAGAAAAGCTTTGCAGAGAGTGGTGAAGGCTGCACAGAAGATGTTGGAGTCAGTCTCCCCACCATCACAGACATCTACACCTCCAGATGCAGGAAGAGGGCCACCTGCATCATGAAGGACTCCACTCACCCAGCACACACACTTTTTGCCCCACTCCCCTCAGGAAGGAGGTTAAGGAGCATTAAGTGTAGAACCACTAGACTGAGGAACAGCTTCTACCCTGAAGCTGTTAGACTCATGAATCTCTAACCAGAATAATCCTGTGCAAAAAAAATCACATCATGTTGCTGCTGATCTGTTTCAGTGTCGCTGCTGATCTGTTTCAATGTTGATGTGTTCAGGTGTGCTCATCTGCTTACACGGGCTCGTGTTCAGGTTTGTGCTGATGTTCGACGTAATGTTTTTTAGGCTAATAATGCTTAGTGTATATTCAGTTGATGTTTTTCTTAGTTAATATATTGAATGTTATCATTGTTTTTCTTTTACATTTTATTGTTGGATGTAACTGGGACCCTGTGTACATAATTTCGCTCCACCACATGTACCACATGAGGTGCGAATGACAATAAAGAATCTCTGACTCTCTGATTCAGTCTCTTGTAACAGATCTCTCGTAAATGAGGCCTAAAGGCTCAATGGGAACTAACTTGTATAAATAAAGGTTGAATGAAAAAAAAAAAGATCCATACCTCATGACCATTTGTCAGGGTTGGAACTTTCACAGAGTAGTAAATCAAACTCTTCGACTCAACTCTTCCTTCACCGTGACAAATTGAAGCAATGCCCTCATTAGGTTTTTTTTATTTTCCATACTAGCCCTCAAGAAAAACAGATACTTTTCTTTCCTCTCCTGCCTTCCTCCTGCTTTTTCTCTTTGTACTGTGTATCTGAGCTTCTATTTACACATCTTCTGAATTGTAAATTACTGTTATGGATTTGGTCAGGGCAGCATGTCGATGGGCATATAATATGCATGTGCAGTACTCTTGTTTTTGTTTGTTTTAATAATATAAAATATTTGCTGCACCTGCATCAACTTGATGTAAAATGTTGGCCACACTTTAAAGTCATCCCTTTTACATACCTCAACAAAATAAGGGTTTGTATTTATTTTATATGAGATGAAAAATTACCTATACATTCCAAATGTCTTCTGTTTTCTTGTGCTTTTTTAATGAAAATCTAAAATAACAAACACAACATCTGGCTCGAAGGACCATGTTGGATACAAAAAAAGCATATTTGAGTATTTTAAAAAGCGCTATACAAATAAAACTTATTACTAATATTATTAGGCAGCACGGTGGCGCAACTGGTAGAGCTGTTGCCTCTCAGCGAGCAGGTCCTTGGTTCAAACCCCGGTCCAGGGGCCTTTCTGGGTGGAGTTTGCATGTTCTCTCCGTGCATGTGTGGGTTTTCTCCAGGTACTCCGGTTTCCTCCCACAGACCAAAAACATGCATGTTAGGCTGATTGGTAACTCTAAATTGTCCCTAGGTGTGAGTGAGAGAGTGAATGGTTGTTTGTGTCGTTTGTCTCTATATGGCCCTGTAATAGACTTGCGACCCGTCCAGGGTGTACCCCGCCCCTCGCACAGTGATTGCTGGACATGGGCACCAGCGACCCCCGTGACCAAAAATGGAATAAGCGGGTAAAGAAAATGGATGGATGGATGGATGGATTTATGATAGTAGGGTTTCTACTTTTTGGCACCGGGGGATACCTATGTTATCAGCTATTAAGGAAGATGTCGGCAGCAGTTTCGTCTGAGAATCGTAGGCTACTTGCTGCTTCTGGAACTAAACAATAACAATATTTGGTTAACAAGACATGAGCAAACAAAGTACTAGATTCAACAAGCAAATGCAAATTTGGATGACAGTCATGTCACATGACTAAAGACTTTTGCTTAATATAAACCCATCAGCATGTCATGCTTATTTTCTAACTGCTTCAACTGGAGTTTGAAGTGAAGTGGAAAAATATCTGAAATATTTCTGTCCTGCTCCTCAGAGCTTGATGTTACATCCATCATTGTGTAAGTGCAACACTGTCTCATACTTTTATGTTTATTAACATTAAGGCATTCATCTGTAATTGTATAAACTTTTTTAATTACCTAATTTAGTATCTTGAAAGGTTGAAAAAAAAAAAGCAAAATTCTGTTTGATTTCTAAAACTCATAATTACTGGAATAGTTTGTATTTTTTCTTACAACCAGCATTTTTTTAACCTGATACTGTTGGGCATTCAGATGTGCTGATTCATTTCCGAAGAGCTGCTGGGATGTATTGAAAATATTACTAGTTTCTTTGTGTGTGTGCTTTTAAGTAAATCTTAGAGGATTTAAAAAAATAGGGTAGCAGCCAGATATAAAAACATTTTAAATCGAAATGTAATAGGGGTGGAAAAATTAAAACAAAAAAAAAAGCCTTTTATTTGAAATTTGAAGTTGTTTTTCTTTCTTCTTTAAAAGAAAAAGATACTGAAATCTCCTCTATGAATTCCTCATCCTATATGTACAATGTGTCGAGCGTTCTGAGTAACCGTGACTCCCCGAGCACAGCTATGGCCAAAAACATCATCATCCTCACTCTGGGTCTCACCATCAACTACATCAACTGTGCACTGATTCACACCTTCAGGAAACACCAGGTCAGTGTTTGAAAAAGAAAATGATGCTTATCTGCTTTTCTTTTGTTGCACAGATGAACTCAAAATACCTTCTTTTTATTTTGTCAGCTTCAGTTTATGCACGCATCATATTTTAATTACACAAAAAGCTGCAATAGGGATGCTTTTAGCTTTTAGTATTGTTCTTGATTCTTCTACTAGCACGTAATATTAAACTTTACGCAGCAGTAATGGAATATTGCTCTCTTGCAAAAGAAAAATGATGTAATACAACATTCTGTTGTCATTTCAATTTATTTTGTTTAAAAAAAAATTCCCAACTTAATTCTTTACCACCTTACTTTTCACATTTGTCTGAAGACCATTTAAAAAGAACAAACCACTGAAATAAAAAGTATTTTCTTCTGCTCTCTTTCAGGTGTTTTACTTGAATCCTCGTTACATCCTGTTCATCCATCTGGTGGTGAACGATATGATCCAGCTTACGACCACAGTCAGCCTCTTTCTCATCAGTTACATCTTCTACACAATTAATGCTTCTCTCTGTTGCCTCATCATTGTTTTTGCTGTTTTCACATCTTTTAACACCCCCATAAATTTAGCTGTGATGGCTGTGGAGTGCTACATCGCCGTGTGCTTCCCTCTGAGACACGCTGAGCTCTGCACCGTCAAACGAACTTATATTCTGATTGTCTGTATTTGGGTTTTGAGTGCAACATCTGTAATGCCTGATATCTTTCTCATTCTGGCCACGGAGCCTGTACGGTTATTTTATTCTACAATATTCTGTGAAAGAGATAATCTGTTTAGACATCCAGTAAGTTTACAAAAGAGGGATGTTTCTTATATAATTTATTTAACTTTAGTTTGGCTCACTCTCTTCTTTGCCTACTTCAGGATCATTTTTGCTGCTCACGCAGCTAATTCAGCCGACAGAAATGCAAAAAAGGCCAGGAATACCATCCTGCTTCATGGCTTTCAGCTCCTCTTGTGTATGCTGACGTACGTATTTCCCATGATCAGAAACTCAATAGTATTTTGGTTCCCTAAACATTACATACACATCGTCTTTGTTTGTTACATCATCGTACAGATTTTGCCCAGGTTTGTCAGTCCCATTGTGTATGGCCTAAGAGACAACATGTTTAAACAGCATTTAAGAAAACATTTGCTCTGTGGCATGAGAGCAGGCAGTAAACCAATGCTCTCAGTGAAACTCATAATGCTCTCCAGATTTCAAATTACATTAATAAGATTTGGGAGCAAATAGTCCAATATTTTGTTTGATTTTACATTGGTGCTTCAATCTTACTACAGAACTAGGAGCAGGATTTTTGTTTATGTCACTTGAGTTTAATAAGCTACTCAGTTTAGCAGATGTAAACATGACTCCTTGACCTGGGCCTTCAGATTTAATGAAATATGCAGTCATGCAATATGTGCTTTTGATTACTTAACATTTTGTCCTAATACATACCTTATCAAAGCAACAATTGTAGATGGTGAATTGTCTTCCTGGTGCATTCATGAGCAACATGAATATATTTCAATAACCCACACGAAAATCTTAACTGTAATCTACAGAATTTACTGTTTCTGCAAAATTTTACTATGTAATGAAACAAAAATACATGTATTTTAAAACAAGTATCATTGTAAACCTAAATGAAACCAGTGTGGCTTTTTAAATTAACAGGTTTTAATTGAATGCACCACAAACCTTTACCATCCATCCATCCATTATCTTTACCCACTTATTCCATTTTGGGTCACGGGGGTCACCGGTGCCCATGTCCAGCAATCACTGTGCAAGGGGCAGCGTACACCCTGGACAGGTCGCAAGTCCATCACAGGGCCACATAGAGACAAAGGAGACAAACAACCATTCACTCTCTCACTCACACCTAGGGACAATTTAGAGTTACCAATCAGTCTAACATGCATGTTTTTGATCTGTGGGAGGAAACCGGAGTACCCAGAGAAAACCCACGCATGCACGGAGAGAACATGCGAACTCCACCCAGAAAGGCCCCCGGACCGTGATTTGAACCAGGGACCTGCTCACTGAGAGGCAGCAGTTCTACCAGTTGCGCCGCCGTGCTGCAACACCAAGATCAATAATCAAAAAATTGACAGGAGAAAACCATCAAGAAAAATCAATCAGTTCTCAAACAAAAAATTTTAAAAACGGACTGCCTTGGGCATGTCCCTACATGAGTCAAAATTTCTGGTGGACAGCCCAGAGACCATTCAGCACAAGGCCAGAGTTCTGGTGGAGTATCCAAGACTGTGGAGGCGAGCAAGATGTGTCCTCCTGGACCCTCTCAGAGGCACACGAATGAGAGGCGTCCTTCTGGACACTCTCAGAGATGGTGGAAAGACAGAGGCTGCATCAGGTGGTGAGGGTGCAGCAGGTGATGATGCTGCAGCAAGCTAAGAGAACAGAGGATGCAGCGACAGACATTGAACTAGAAATAGCTGTAGCAGATGCCGATGAATCAGAGATAGCTGCAGAAGGCAATGAACCAGGGATGACTGCAGCAGACTGCAATGAGACCACAGAGACCTCTGCGAACAAAGAACCAGTAGGTGTTGCAACAGACGATGAGGCTGCAGAAGGTGATGTGTCAGAAGGCGCTCCAGCAGAGGAACCCATAGAGGGTGCCACAGATGATGAGACCACGGGAACCACCACAGATGATGAGACCACGAGGACCGCTGCAGATGATGAGCAAGGGGAGGTTGCTGCTAGAGACATGGGACCCACTAGAAGTTTGGGGTTGACCAGCAGCTTGGGGCACACCAGCAGCTTGGGACTCAGAGCAGTAGCAGCTGCTGGACCAGAGGCAGGTGGAATATCATGGTTATCTCCATGGAGACACACAGAGAAAAGGTGACAATGTCCCCAGTCCTCCAAAAGGTAGAAGGAGCAGAGCCACTGTTACTAACTCTGAGACATGGGCCATGCTGACATCCTGGACGATCCCCACAGGGACACAGGAAGGTGGAGCATCATGGTCAACCACTACAGAGACACAGGAAGGTGGAGTGTCATGGCTGACCCCTACAGTGACACAGGAAAGTGGTGTGTCATCACCAACTTCCATGGATACACAGGTAGGTGGAGCATCATGGCCGACCCCCATGGAGACACAGGAAATTGGAGCATCATCACCAACTCCCATGGAGACACAGGAAAGTGGAGCGTTATAGCTGACCCCTACAGAGACAAAGGAAGTTGTAGCATCACAAGCAATCCCCACAATGACACGGGAAGATGGGGAGTCATGTGTTTAGGGAGCTGGAGAGCAATGAAACACAGAAGGTGATCAAGGACCTGGAATTAAAGAGGGACATGGAGCAAACCTCCTGGAGGCCAGAATTTTTATGCTCAGCCAAATTCCACAGAAAGGCAATCGCCTCTTCTCCTCGTCCACCAATAGTGGAGATGGGAGGACGTTGGGCTCCAGGCTGGGGAGTCCTTGCCTAGGAGCTGGTCCTGAAGTCCACACCTGAACTCTGCTTCAATGGATGACAAGGGTATTTTCACACTCCACCATTCTTCTCTGGCGGAGAGACATAGGAGGCGAGTGGGATGGAAGAAGGTGGCAAGGCGCTAAAGATCCACAAGGAACTGGAAGGGACTAAAGTGTTAGAAAGGAGGAAATTGGCTTAAATTCCAAGTGGGTTCTCCAGAACTGAGACCTCCTCCTTTCCTCTTCTTCCACAAAAAAGAGACGATGGGATAATCTCCACTTCCAGGCTCTGGTGTCTACAGGCAGATCTGAACCTTCTCATCTGAAACCCACTCCAGTAGTTGACGGAGTGTGGGCCCTGTGCCACATTCCTCTGTCTTTCCTTTCGTTCTTACTGAAAGGTTTTAGCTGCCTCTTCAACCAAAAACTCTAATAGGGTGATTTTTCTGCTGGGTTCTCTTGGGTCCATACATTCGATCATGCTTGGTGGGGTTGAACCCAGGGTGCAGATAGAAACTCAAAAGTACTCAAAAGTAAAATAAGAAACAGATTTATTAACAAAAAATTTCAAAAAGCTGATGTGGCTGCAAAACTTACATAAAAAAATCAGGAAAGACAGGAAGGAGCAAAGCAATCAGTCACAGAAAAACTAAATACAAGAACCTAAGAAGACCAAAACACAAAACACACAGATCCTGACAGAAGTGTTCATCTTTTATCCAAAAGACTTCTTCAGTTTGAGTAGCTGCAACAAACTCAGTCTTATAAGCTACACCTTCCCATATTGGATCAACCAGTTTGCTGGTGACAGCCAAAACTAGTTGTTTCCATGTAAAAGGAGGACCATCAACCTAACACCTTACTGTTAGTGCCCTCATGGTCGCTTGCTATTCACAAAGGGCTGAAGGATACTAGCAATAACAGCATTATCAGAGGGTGACAAATTAACGTGGAGGCCTCCACCCCTGTTTAACGATGAACAGTTCTCTTCACAAAGATGGCTTCTTTTACTCCTCACACAAACCAACATTTCTGTCTATCAAGGATGTGAACATCTTCATCCCTGAAAGAGTGACCGCTGGCCTGCAGATGAGTGTAAACCGCAGAGTCCTGGCCTGGTGATGTTGCTCTTTTGTGCTGGGCCATCCTTTTGGCCAGTGGTTCTTCAGTTTTCCCAACATATAACTGATCACAGTCCTCCTGGCACTTAATAGTATATACAGTATCACTCTGTTTGTGTCAGGGGACTGGATCTTTGGGGTGAAGTAGTCTTTGCCGTAATCAAAATCTGCTTTGTCATTGCACCGAATTACAACAAAATTACATTTCAGTAGAGCCCGTAAATGTACATTGGGGTTTGAGAGCCACTGGGACGTGCCATTTAGAAAATAAAATCTCAGTTTCTCTGAAACCCCAACAAACATACGGGATAACTACTGGTCTGATTCTTTGTTTGGGGTCCTCCCATCTGATGGCTCATTGGTTTCCTTTTTGGGTTTGTTATCTACTTTTAAAAAGGCCCACTTAGGATATCCACATTGCTCCAGGGCCTATCTTCTGTGGGATTTCTCCTTCTCTCTGGCTCCTGTTAGTGGGGATGCTGTCAGCTCTGTGGTACAGAGTCCTGATGACTCCTAACTTGTCCTCCAGTGGGTGATGGAAGTCAAATCGCAAGTACCAGTTTGTGTGGGTGGGTTTGTGGAACACATTAGTTTCCAAATACCCTCCATCAGAGACTTGGATCTCACAATCCAAGAAAGCCAACCTGCCATCTTTTACATATTCTCGTGTGAACTTTATATATCCATAAAGTTGATGTGATCAGTGAAATGTTATGATGTCTTGAGATTTAATTTTAACCCAGGTGTCATCAACATACCTGAATCAATGACTCTGTGGCATCCCTGAAAAGAATACCAAGCCTCTCTTTTCTACCTCCTCCATTTACAGATTTACAACAATAAGATAACCTGGGGACCCCATAGTACACCCGTGTTTCTGTATATAATGGCCCCAAAATGTGAAGTAGGTTGGCTGTAGCACAGTTCCTGACAATTATTTAACAAACTTATCCTGGGGAGCTTGACTGAACTGTGCCTTCTCGTCTGACAATGAGGTCCTAAGCAATGAGAGAATCTCCAAACGTTTCTGTCTGGAGAAGCAAATTTAATAAAATGTAATTGGATAACCCTTAATTGATTCATAATTAAATTAAATGTTTTTTCCTACTAAGTAGGATACAGGAAACAAGATAAATTGGCAATTAATAAGAAAAACTAGATTAAAAATAAAATATTTATTAAATAAATAATTTAAAATGTAAATGTAGCATTTGAAATGTACTAAATTCTTGGACCTTCACTGAAGTCCCTGAAGGTTCCACTTAGATATGTTGAAAGTTGCTGGATATTATCTTACTTTATTAGCTCACTTGACAGGTACAGTATTTATATTTTGTGGGGTATGGTCATTTTTGCATTTTCTGGACATTTTATATTGCAGTCAAACTGTAATTATGTACAGTAACAACAAATAAAAATCTGTAAGTATATTTTTGTAGATGGTTGTTGGGGAATAATCTTATTAGTCTATCAGGTGTAGAGGCTTTACCATGAACAACTTGACTTGGACTTCTTTGAACCCATTTTTCCTTCGATGGGGTGTGTGCACATTTTATTCAAGGGACATCTCTGATGAGTATAACCTGTTCCTTATTAGAGATTCCTTCCTGAAAAAATAATCCCCTTCTGACACACATCCTTGACATCAAGCCAAGTAATTCATGATCACCCAAGACCAAACTAACTGATGGAAATAAATGTTCTTTCCCTGCATATGTATATTTTCTTTGTTCAGGAAGAGTCTCACCTGGACTATGAAGAACAATGCTTTGTCGGATACCAGCAGTGATGATCAAAAGTTGGTCAGGCCTCCCTTCTCAGAATGTCTAGATTTGAGGCTCCGATTGCAATGATAACTCGAAGGATCCTATTTGTGACACCAGAGTTGTTGGGGAGAAATCTTATTAGTCTGTCTTATTTATCACGTAGCGAGTATTCACCATGAACAATGTCTATGTAGAGGGATACTGTATAAACACAGACTCAGCTGCTGCATTCAATCTCTTATTTATTGTCAGTTTATCAATCCCTAAAGTCATCAACAGTTATACAAACAGAAAATTTTCCAATCACCCCCTCATTTGGTCATGTCTTGTTGCATGTGAAGTCTGGTGCAGCTGCTCTTTGGTCACAAAAACACAATGCCCAATGTTGTTGCCAAATTATTTATCTCGTGAGTTTTTGGCGGTGTATATCATTGTTTTCCCGGATTTTAATGCTAAAGACACTCTGCAGGACCTACATGATAACATCAGCTCGCTGCAAAACAAGCACCCGGAGACTTTTTATGTGGTGGCTGGTAATTTTAAGCACATAAACCTGAAAGACACTGACAAGATCTTATCAGCATATGGACATTCCAACATGGGGAAATAGCGCACTTAACCGTGTTTACGCCAACATACAAGACACATAACTGGTTTGTTCCACTTTGAAGTAAGCTGTTGGGGGAAGAATCAGTTTTGTGTTGTGTGTTTCCTTGACTGATGAAGCCTTCTGGATGGAAGGTGAAACGTTTAAGCACACACACAAAACAAAAGAAACTGTTCCGATGACCCGACTGAAAATTGTTGGATTGTATACCTGGATTATTGAGCATGGACTTTGTTGGTTTTGAAACAGTTTGACATGACTGAAGACGAGGAAGAGGGCCAGCACCGGAGGAGGGGTATGCCAAAGAGACCATCTTAGCACCAACATAACTGGTTTGTTCCACTTTGGAGTAAGCTATTGGGGGAAGAATCAGTTTTGTGTTGTGTGTCCTTTGCTTCTTTGCGGTTCATTTTCCACATTTTTCACAATTGGCTGATTGATGGAAGAGCCATGGATTGTTTATTTAAAATAAATTATTTAAAATGATTTTGCACCATGTGTGAAGCCCACAAGTGCAGGGGGAGGATCCCTCCTGCAGCTGATCAGCTGATCTGCTTCTCTGCCACACATATTTATCCTGCAGCGGGTTTGTGAAGGGTTAACCCTTTGCTGTCTAAATGAACCGATCATGGATTGGACCCGTCTTGCTGCATCTGGGCCGGGACGGCTTGCCATCATTGATGGAAAAACAAATTCTGAATTTCAAAGGAAAATGTCAAGACATCTGTCCATGAACTGAATCTCAAGAGAAGGTGGGTCATGCAGCAAGACAATGACCCTAAGCACACAAGTTGTTCTACCAAATAATGGTTAAAGAAGAATAAAGTTCATGTTTTGGAATGGCCAAGTCAAAGTCCTGACCGTAATCCAATCCAGATGTTGTGGAAGGACCTGAAGCAGCAGTTAATGTGAGGAAACCACCAACATCCCAGAGTTAAAGATGTTCTGTGCAGAGGAATGGGCTAAAGTTCCTCCAAGTCGGGTGAGCAGGACTGAGCAACAGTTACCAGAAATGTTTAGTTGCAATTATTGCTGCAGGTGGGGTAGGGGTGGGGGTCATACTAGGTACTGAAAGAAAAGGTTAGCATACTTTTACCACTCACAAATACATAATATTGGATCATCTTCCTCAATAAAAAAAATGACCAAGTATAATAGTTTGTCTTGTTTGTTTCACTGGGTTCTCTTTATCTACTTTTAGGACTTGTGTGAAAATCTGATGATGTTTTAGGTCATATTTATGCAGAACTATAGAAAATTTTAAAGCGTTCACAAACTTTCAAGCACCACAGACAGTTCCCTGTCTCTGAGTGGTCAGGGAAGACACTCCACATCAAAATGTGATCTTTATCACAATGTTGAGTGTGTTGGGATGGACCTGCCTCAGTTGCTGTGCCAAACACCAGATGCTGAGAAGGTCCTCCTGCACACATCTCTGCCTTCATTCAGCACCATCCAAAGTGTATAAAACTCTTGCTTGTGAAAGTGTTACAATCACTTTATGTCAGCTATAACCAAAAAACACAAAACATGGAGGAAAAATACCAAATTTTTGATGCAAACATTTGGATTTTTAATTTTTTATTTTACCAAGAAGTTATATAAAGCATGAAAAATAAATGCCAGGGTTTAGTCTGGTGAAAAATGGATGAGATGCATTAAATCAGAAAACCAGATTCAGTGGCAGTGGAGAGTAATTTACAGTTTTTTTCTGTTTAAGGACTTTTTTTTCATTCAACTTTTATTTAGACAGGTTAATCCCATTGAGCATCAAGGACTCATTTACAATAGAGACATTAATTTAGACCTGACTAATACGTGGAAGAAGAACAATAATTACATCACCATTCAGGAGGACTTTAAACATCAGCATCATATATAAAAACATCAGACATATTTCACTCTCATTTCCTGACTGTCAAAGTTGAGTCTGATGTGATTTCTGTGAGGTAGGAATTATTTTTGGCCATCTCTCCTTTGTTTCCGTTTCCTCTTATGCTTTGTTGGTGCACTTTCTACATTTTATGTGCGTTTATTTATTTCCTAAGATCATCTCTAGTAATATAATGAGGCATTTATTTGCCTGCTAAATTTCTTAGAACTGAAAAAAACAAAGAATGCTTTTGTTGTTTGTGTCATGTTACTGCTTTGCTGGTAAAGTACTGTAATATCAAATTAAATGAGTTTTAAAAAGCCACTGTTGCTAGAAAAAAAACTGTTTAAAATACGTTTTTAATATTATGGATAAGTGTAAGCACAATAGGGTGGATTTGTGTAATTAATGACAGATCTTGACTTTGAATCAGAAATAGGAATATTGTTCAGCATCTTTATGATCTTGTTCTACAGCCACACCTTTGTAAAGACTGGAGAATGCAGCTTTGCTTTGTCCTGGCAATAAAAGTTCCTTTCAAGATAAATTAATCTTGAAAGAAATGCATACAGAGTGAAAAGTCTATGTAATTTCTTGGATTAAATGTGCTCATTGCATACTAAAGATATCCTAAACTATATGAAATGGTGCAATTTATACTACTTTAAATTTCCACATGGTGCAATCGTGAAATGTGGGTCCACTTTCAGCAGAAACGCTTCAAATATTCTTGTTTATTTTAAGGACAGGGTATTCCTTCAACCTCATGAACTCCTCATCCTATAACTACAGTGTGTCGGGCGGTCTGAGCGATCAACTCATCATAGCTGCAGCTAAAAATGTGATCGTCCTCGCTCTAGGCATCACCATCAACTATATTAACGGCATGCTGATTCTCACCTTCAGAAAACATCAGGTCTGCATTTATTGCCAGATTTTTTTGGTTATTTTAAAGTTATCAGTGTAGATAACGTCATAATAATATATAATGCAAATTAAAACATACGAAAAAGAAAAATTCAAGTTTTTTTCTTTTCCTCTCTTTCAGGTGTTTTACGTGAACCCTCGTTACATCCTGTTCATCCATCTTGTCGTGAACGATGTGATCCAGCTAACAACATCAGCCAGCCTGTTTGTCATTGGTTACGTCTTGTATAAGATTAATGCTTCCCTTTGTTGCCTCCTGATATCTTTGGCTATTTTCACCACCATGAACACTCCGTTAAATTTAGCCGTAATGGCTGTGGAGTGCTACGTCGCTGTGTGCTTCCCTCTGCGGCACGCTGAGCTCTGCACCGTCAAACGAACTTATATTCTGATTGGTTGTGTTTGGACTTTGAGCTCGGTCACAGTTTTGCCCGAAATCTTTATTCTATTGGCAACAGACCCCCTGTGGTTAGTTTATTCCTCGATAATTTGTCTAAGGGAAAATCTGTACCTACATCCAGTGAGTGTGCAAATTAGACAAATTGTTTATCTAATGTATTTAATTGGAGTGTGGTTCGTCCTTTTCTTTACCTATATCAAGATCTTTGTTGCTGCTCAAGCAGCTAATTCAGCTGATGGAAAGGAAAAGAAGGCCAGGAACACCGTCCTGCTTCACGGCTTTCAGCTGCTGTTGTGTATGCTGACATATGTAGACCCTATGATAAAAACTGGTTTGATGAGATTGTTCCCTAAATATGCAGAAGAAGTGCGCTTCGTTTGGTATGTGTTTGTTCACATTCTCCCCAGGTTTATCAGCCCCATTGTGTATGGGCTGCGAGACAAGACGTTCAAACAGTATCTGAAGAAACATCTGTCGTGTATCATTAGACCAGTCAGTAAACTGCATCCTAACAGTATTTGAAAAACACTTTAACTTTGCACAGTAAAGTATGGAGTGGTGTTATCAAGATTTAACACCCTGGGTTGAGCGACTGAAACATCTTTGCAGTTCGCTGGTGAAGAAGCCCATATTGTGAGGAGAGACAGGTCAATCTGCATGTGTATCTAGTTTAGCTCAGCTTTATAACTCGAACCCCACACTCTCTGTTCTTTAAATTGAGAAAGCTCCTCGGATGAGAAGTGAAACATCTTCTTTTACAAATAAAGTCCAGTTTTTGTCTTGAACTTTTTTGAATCCTTGCAGTTCCACTCATAAACTGGCTGCGGAAGGTCGACCCTTGAATTATTGATAACCTCTCCTTAATTTGCTGACTTTTACATTTCAGGTTACAAATTGTTTCATCTGTGATGGCTCACCTGTCTCCACTTATTAGTCATTTATGTAACAATCTTTAGTCTTTGCTTGTGATTGTTTTGTGAGTGGGTGAGTTTATCAGATGATACTAAAAATCCCCAATATAATAGAAAGAGAAGAGCTGTTCTTAAATGCAAATGTTTTGTTTTTTGACTATTTCTTTTAGGATTTATAAATAGTACATGAAATCTAAAATTTCACAGTATAGTCTGGAGAAAAATGTATAAGATGTGGTGTTACAGCAGCACTCGATTTTACAGTGCATTGCTGAAAAAGTTGTGGCTTGTGAAATTTAAATAAAAAGAGAAAGCAAGGATTTCCAAATCTCATAAGCATATATATGTTTGCTTCACAATGGGACATACAAAACACATCAAAACAAAAAAAAAAAATACACAATTATTTAGTTTTAAAAAATAAGGTTTTGTTAATTTTATTGCAGGAACATGTCAAAAAAGTTGGGACGGGGCAACAGACGGCTGTAAAAGCAACTAATCTGCAGAAGAAACAACTGAAGGAGAATTTGGCAACATTTTAAGTGAATTGGCAACATGTCAGTCTGAGAAATGGGTATAAAAACAGGATTTTAGAGAGGCAGAATGTCTCAGAAGTAAAAATGGGCAGAGGTTTACCAGTCTGAAATAAACTGTCTAAAATTGGGAAGGCTGCAAATATCCTATCATCTACACCAAATTATTATTTTTTTTTTTAATCTTTCTTTTCTTTTTACACCAAAGTTCATGCTCAATAATCGAGGTACAAATCCAACAATGTTCATTCAGATTATCTGGATGGTTTCTTTTTTTTTTTTTTTTGCTGAGACGTTTCATCCTTCATCCAAAAGGACTTCTTCAGTCCAAGGAGCCACAAACAAACTGGAGTTCCACAAATAAAACACGCCAATAGTGAGAAAAAAAACAAAAACAGTTATGAACTATCATCTACAGTTTATAATAACAGATTTCAAGAATCTGGAGAAATCGCTGAGTTCAAAAGACAAGGTTGAGAAACAACATTGAAGGGTTGTGGACTTTGGGCCTTTGGGGGCCACTGCATCAAAACAGTATGTTTCTGTTTTATAGACGTCACTGCATGGGCTCAGGAAAACTTCCACAAATCACCAGTAAAAACTGTTCGTCTTGCCATCAATAAATGCAGGGTAAAGCTCTATCATGCAATAAAGAAGGAATATGTGAACACTATCCTAAATATATTTCTCAGTCATCCTGGATGACTGAGAAAACAAACTTTGTGTTTTTGAAACCATTAGTGAAAAGGCCAGACTTCAGGGGTATCTGAGGCAGGCTTGAAACACAAGAGTCAGGATGGCTTCTGGGTAATACTAGATGGCTAGGCCTCAGACTGACGAAGCCTCTTGGACGAGGGGCGAAACGTTTCTTTTTTAACAAAAAAACGAAGTCCAGATGACATGATTCAACCTTTTTTGTTTGTTTATCCTAAATACTGCCGTCTTCTCTGAACCAAATATAATTTAAAATTAACTCAGGCAAAGTTCAAATCTGTTCTATAGTCAGACAAATTAAAATATAAAATTGTATTTGGAAATTATAGCACCCCATCCTCTATACAAAAGAGCAGAGGGCTAATCCGTCCTGTTATGAGTGCACAGTTTAAAAGCTTGCATCTCTGATGGTATAGGGCTGCATTAGTGCCTCTAGCATGGGCAGTTTACACATCTAGAAAGTTGTCGATGCAGAAAAGTTATACAGATTTTAGAAAAACAAATGCTGCCCTTCAGATGTCTCGGTCTCCCTATCTCGGAAGAGGTGGAGAGACCGAGCACGACTGACCGAAATCAGACTGCCTGCTTCGGATTGAACAAGAAGAAGACATTGCTGAAGCCACGGAGCTCGAATGTTTACAGAGAAGCTGCTAAACTTCATCATAATTAATAACCAACCGCTGTCAGTTGTAGAAAATTAAAGATTTCGCAGCTTGATACTTGCAGCCAAGATATAGTTTACGCTCCAGGAGATATTTATCAGTACAACAGTAGAAAATAAAAAAAAATGCATATGAATTGAAAATTACAAGAAAATTATTTTAAAAAATGAAACAAAAACAGCTACATTATAAAGCGATTTAAAATACTAAAAACAGGAACATGTCTGTGTTGGTTTATGCCATGAACTTAGCAGATGTTTAAAGCCATTTATTTTTTTATTTTTTTATTTAATTAATTCATTTAAAAGAAACAAAAAGAAACAAAACCATCAAAAAGAAAAAAACATTGAATAAAAAGAGTGCAAAAAGAAGAATATTGTATATCTGCCCCTTATTTAAAAAAATGTATAAAATAACTTTAAACAAACAGTCACTTAAATTAATCACCTTAATATCCACTTCAAAGCTATTTTAAAAAAAAACATGTTTTGTGTTAGCAGAATTTAATTCTAACTTTGAATCTTAACCAACATTTATAAAACTTACCCCAAGTTGCCCTTTTGGACATGCATGCATATATTTGTACAAAGTATACTTGCCTATAGACAGGAGATTATTGCAGCCTCATATAAAATCAATAATGATCATATCGGAAAGGTATTGCTATCGACTGATATCCAGATTTGGGGATCGGATTGGAAGTAAAATAAATGTGGATCGTGCATCCCTACTTATCACCCCTCTCGTAAGAATCCTTGAGAAATATTTTTCTTTTCTCTTTTCCCTAATGTGACATTAATCAATCAGAGGCTGGTTAGCTGGCTTTGAAAAATCTAGGTAATGCGTTTTGAAGAGAGTTGTACATACTGTGTCTATATATGTCTATATCTATATTTTGTCGATCAAAAACAGTATTGTGTTAGTATTTTTGTTGATTTAAAAAAAGCATTCGATACTATTGACCACACTATTCTCCTTGAAAAATTAAATAAATATGGTATAAGAGGACCAGCATTACACTGGGTATCTAGCTATTTAAAAGATAGGAAACAGTTTGTACAAATAAATGGTGTAAGATCTGACTTGTGCAATATCACTTGTGGAGTTCCTCAAGGCTCTGTACTTGGACCAAAGTTATTTATTTTATATGTGAATGACTTAGTGAATGTATCAGGACTCCTGAAATGTGTACTTTTTGCAGATGACACCACATTTTTTTGTTTGGGTAAAGATGTAAAACGGATGTTGGAACTGATGAAGACAGAATTTGATAAAATACAAACTTGGTTTAAACTTAATAAATTATCATTAAATTTAGATAAAACTAAATACGTGATATTTAGTAACAAAAAGAGAACAGTTGATGATCCATTTAAAACTGAGGGTGTTGAGATTTGTAGAGTTAATGAGATGAAATTTTTGGGTGTAATCATTGATGAACAGCTAACATGGAAAAATCACATAAATTCTGTAAGAACAAAAATATCTAAATCTATTGCAGTACTATACAAAGTCAGGGAATTATTAAATGATAAAGCTCTGTACATGTTGTATAACACAATCATTGTTCCACATTTAATCTATTGCATTGATGTTTGGGGGAAAGCATGTAAAACATTTACAAAACCTATTTTTATTTTACAGAAAAGAGCTGTAAGAATTATCACCAGAAAGCATTACAGTCACCCATCAAGCACATTATTTTATCAACTGAAGTTATTGAAGTTCCATGATTTAGTAGATTATTGTCATAGCTCTGCTCTCTGTCAGCTCCTCTGTCATGCTGCACACTCAGTAATCACTCAACTCATGTCACCTGTCACCGCTCATTATCCCACAGCTCCACCACTTGGTCCAGTCAGTACTTAAGTTCACTCATTCCTCTCAGTCTGGGCCAGATTCTCTATCCTGTCTCATCAGCAGTAGACTTTCCAGCATTCCATTGATTGACTCATCACGTTCATGACCCTTGCCTTGACCACGACCACGCTTTTGCCTCAGCCCTCGTCTGCTTTTGCTCATCTGATCAGGTACCGACTCATGCTCTTGTTTTTTGACTCTCTTTTTGGATCACGTACTGGATACTTCTGCTGAACAACTGACTTCACGGTATGAACTCTGCCTTTCCCTTCTGACTGTTTTTTGGATCACGGATTAAAGGTCAAGCTCATTCTGTATCACGGACTTATCCTTATCCCTGAATCTGATTCCCACAGATTCATTTCCCCAATTAGTCTCTTTCCCCCTGCATCTACTAACCTTTATCTTTTAGTTGCAAGCCTGTTGGACTCCGTTCCAGTGGACCTTAACATCAGTTCTACTTCTACTGGCAGCCCGCCACTTCAACACTACCCAATCACGAACTACCAATCAGAAGATCGGAACCGGCCCAGAACCGGACCTACTCCAGGGTTTTACTTTATTTCACAATAAACCTTTTAACCCTCTCAGTGGTTGTTGTTGTTGTTTGCGATCCGGCCTCTGGTTCATGACAGATTATAGTATTTTATCAGTTATGTATAGAGCTCAAAATAACACATTACCGTTAAATATCCAAAGAAATTTTATTAAAAGACAAAGTTGTTACAATCTTAAGGGGATAGAGATATTTGTCAAACCAAAATTCAGAACTAGTCTGAAGGGAAGGTCTACCTCAATCCAAGGAGTTGGATTGTGGAATGGTCTAGAGAGTGATGTGAAAAATGTCAAGTCAATGTGTACATTTAAGAAAAAGATCAAATCTAGATTGTTAAAAAAGTATATATGAAGTAGCTTAGTGTGTGTTTTGTATTAGAATTAGAAAAATTAGAAAGTTATTAATTTTGTTCTGTTACTTGAAAATTAATATGTCTGAAATAATTGTTTGAAAAAAGGGGCAGATAAAATAAGATTTTTTTTTTTCTTTCTGCTGCCTTTCATTTTAATTTTTTTTTGTATCTTTTTATATATTATGGAATTGTTTTGTACTTTTTTTAAAATGAATAAACTTCATACCATATAACGCTCAACGTTGTTTCTCTTCACTGGTATGACCAAGTGCGAGTAAAATCTGTTCAGACACGGGACTGCTCTTCAGTGATCTTTATTGCAGGGATCTGGTATAATAAACAGAACACAATATTTCATCAATGTGTGTGACAGGTGCATGAATCTCCACCAGCTTCCATTACCACTTTTCTTTTCTTCTCCTCTCTTTTCTTGTTGTGTGATCGTAGTCTTTTTTCCTCAATATATTAATACAACAATTTTACATTTTAGACCAAAACATGTTTTATTTTGCCATAAAACGTTCAAAACACAGTTAACAGTATGAAAACAGTACTGGTTCTGTATTGGTTCTGTCATGACCGTGGAACACTGGATCTGCTCTTTAGCCTTGTACTTGAGGAGTCATGGGAGTCTGCCCATCAAGTCTATCTGCATTTTGTGGACTTGGAGAAGGCTTTCAACTGTGTTCCATAAGGTGCACTATGGGTGGGTGCTCCGTGAGAATGAGATTGGGGGGCCCATTTCTATGGGCTGTTCAGTCCCTATACAAGCAGTGTGAGAGTTTGGTTCGCATTGCCGCTAGTAAGTCAGAGCCCTTCAGGGTGGGAATTGGACTCTGCCAGAGTTGTCCATTGTCACCGATTCTGTTCATAACTTTTATGGACAGAATTTTTTGGTGCAGCTAGGGGGCAGGAGGAGTCTGGTTTGGTAGCCTCATGATTACTCCTCTGCTATTTGCAGATGATGTGGTCCTGTTGGCGTCATCATGCAGTGATCTTCAGCTCTCACTAGAGAGGTTTGCAGCTGAGTGTGAAGTGGCCGGGATGAGAGTCAGCGCCTCTAAATCTGAGGCCATGATCCTCAGTCGGAAAAGGGTGGATTGTTCTCCGGGTCGAGGGTGAAATTTTGCCTCAAGCGGATGCGTTCAAGTATTTTGGGGATTTGTTCATGAGTGAGGAAAAAAGGGAGTGTGAGATAGGCTGATGGAGTGATGCAGCAACTGCAGCATTGAGGACTCTCTGCCAGTCAATTGTGATGGAGAGGGAGCTGAACTGTAAGGCAAAGCTATCTGTTTATCGGTCCATCTACGTTCCTACCCTCACCTATGGTCACAAACTCTGTGTAGTGACTGAAAGAATGAGACTGTGGATACAGGCAGTTGAAAAGAGTTTCCTCCGCAGGGTAGCTGGGCTCTTCTTTAGAGAAAGGGTGAGAAGTTCAGTTATCCAGGAGAGACTCGAAGTAGAACTGCTGCACTTCTACATTGAAAGGAGTCAGTTGAGGTGGATCAGGCATCTGGTAAGGATGCTTCCAGCATGCCTCCCTGGAGGTTCTTCAGGCATGTCTGATAGGGAGGAGACCCCGGGGAAAACGCAGGACATGCTGGAGAGACTACATCTCTCTGTTGGCCTGGGAATGCCTTTGAATCCTCCCAGATGTGCTGGATGAGGTAGCTGTGGAAGGAGATGTCTGGGCCTCCGTTCTCAAGCTGCCACCCCCGCGATCTGAATTCAGAACAAGCGGAAGATAATGGATGGATGGATGGAATTTAATTTTTGAGAGTGACCCTTTCTTATAGGCAGCACAGTTGCATAGTTGATAGAGCTGCCTCCGCTCAGTGAGCAAGTCACCCCGGTTCAAATCCCATTTGCGCGCCTTTCTGGGTGGAGTTTACATGTTCTCTCCGTACATGCATTGGTTTTCTCCGTGTACTCCGGTTTCCTCCCACAGACAAAAAACATTCATGTTAGACCCATTGGTAACTCTAAATTGTCTGTAGGTGTGAGTGAGAGAGTGAATGGCTGTTTGTCTTGTTTGTTTCCATGTGGCCCTGTGATAGACTGGAGACCAGTCCAGGGTGTCCCCCGCCTCTCACACAGTGATGGCTGGACATGGGCACCAGTGACTCCTTTGACCCACAAAGGAAGAAGAGGGTAAAGATAATGAATGGATGGATGGACAGACATTTCTTATGCCTAAATGCAGCAACACAACAAAATGCAAGTTGGCACATTGCAGATTTTTGAAGTTAGCCATCTCACAAGGTTTACATGTAAGAGGACAGTTATCTTGGATTCTAATGTAGAAATCCAATGTTCGATGGTGACCTTATTTACGTCTAAATGCAAACAAACTTCAAAATGGAAAACAGTACCTGACTTTTATTTCAACTTATCCAGCTCACAAGAAGGACGGACGGAAGGTAATTCCATTTCACCTCTTTGCTCTGCAGTGGGGAACATAAACATGAAAACATCATCTAAAAGTAGGCAAGAGTGACACATTTGTAACCAAATGATCACAATGTTTTGTTTTACACAAATGTTTAAAATGCAACTTTTTTGTAGTTATGTTTAGTGACTTTTGTCTAATGATACAAAAAAGCTACATCAAAAAAAAAATGAAAGAACAGATTTTAATGCAAACTTTTTTTTTCCAACATTTCACCCATCTCTGTATAATGCATAGCATGAGATTGTAGTCTTGTTGGAAATATAAGAGACGCGCCAACACACCAAGCTTCTAGACAGGAATGAGCAATAATTATGTAACATAACATTTTCAAAATAATTTTGTTCAAAAATAGAAAAATACTTTATAAAACTAATGACTGTATTTTGCGAATAAATTGTTTTGCATGTACTGTATAGGCTCAGCTGTTTTTCATCTGAATTTAGGCCCGTTATAATTTGGGAAAGCATGAGAGTTGTAAAAAACTAAGTAAAAAGCGGGTTGATTTTCAAACAGTCAGTTTGCATTTGCCCCCAGGCGGATAAATAATCTAATTAATACAGGAGAGAATTTGGTCATTACATCACAGGAAACATAAAAACATGAGACAGACTTTATGTTCATATCCAGTCGGTCAAAGTCGAGCCTGAAGGGATCTCTGTGAGGTAGGAAGGAAGTTTTATACAACTTTTCTGTATTTTAATGTTTCGGTTGTAACATATTTTACTGCATGAATAAACATTTTTTGTGCATTTAATTCTGAAAAATTTCACTTTTTCTTGTTTTCTGTCATTTAAATAGAATATATTCTTTTTAGATTAACTAAATATGTTTGTTTGTTTAATAAACTTGCATTTGAACTGTTATTTTTAGAAAATGTTAGCTAAGTGCAAACTTATTAATAGTGTTAAATAATTAACAATAAAGTGGGGAGACATATTTATGTTTTAACTGTTCAGTATGGAAAAGGTCACAGATAAATAACTTTTTGATAAAATGTGACAAAGTTTTTCTATTGACAAAACATGAACAAAATGTTACATTAAAACAAAAATATATTTATTAGTTTTATAGCACATAAATTTATGGGATTTCTGATGTTTTCTCAGCATATTTTATTTGTCGATGTACATTAATTGTTATTGTTTTTTTTATCTCAAATTCAAAAACAGTTAAAACTGTACAATATCTGCTGCAGTTTGAAAAAGAAATACTGTTTTTAATAACTAGCAGTTTGGGAGGACGCCAAAGACAAAAACACCAGACAAACATTTCCTCACAGTCAAACTGTATTTGAAACAAATTTATGTCTGAGTTGAAGAAGCGGGTGGATGGATGGATGGATGGATGGATGGATGGATGGATGGATGGATGGATGGATGGATGGATGGATGGATGGATGGATGGATGCTAATTGTGTGTTGTTGGGTAATAAAGCATTGTAAAGACTATATAAGCTTATATTTTTTATTTTAAAGAAAGTATTATTGAATCATAGCAAGAATATATTTTACTTGGACTAGAGAAGAACACATTTTTAGTCAAATAAAGTAGTTTAACTGGAAAACACGACGTGAAATCAAAAAGTCCAACAAAAAAAATTATGTTGACATTAATTAAGTTATTCTTTGACATAGTAAAATATGAAGTGAGATAATAAAACTTAAAGTTAGATATGAATTGGGCTGGAAATGGAATAAAAAAAAAAAAATCGTGCTGTAAATTTAAAAAAAAAATGAAATGTAACATTTATTTCTCATTTTGGAGACAGGATATTCCATCAGCTTCATGAATTCTTCATCTTCTAACTTCAACGTGTCGAGCAATTTAAACACCGGTAATCAGGATGGCCCGGGCTTAGCTGCAGCCAAATATGTGATCGTCCTCGCGCTTGGCTTCATCCTCAACTACATCAGTGGTGCTCTGATTCACACCTTCAGAAAACACCAGGTCTGCATTTATTAACTGGTTTTAATTGTGTTGAAGCCATCAGTGCAGGAAATTGTGTTTAATTGATCAGTAATTGTAAAGAATATTTTTAAAGCATTAAAAATTGCTCTGCTTTCTTCTCTTTTCTTTCAGGTTTTTTTCCTGAACCCTCGTTACGTCCTGCTCATCCACCTCGTCGTGAACGATATGGTCCAGCTGACGACATCGATCAGCCTGTTCATCAGTTACGTCTCCTACAAAATCAACGCTTCCGTTTGTTGCCTCATGATGACCGTTGCTGTTTTCACCACCATGAACACTCCGTTAAATTTAGCTGCGATGGCTTTGGAGCGCTACGTCGCCGTGTGCTTCCCTCTGCAGCACGTCGAGCTCTGCACCGTCAAACGAACTTATGTTCTGATTGGTTGCATTTGGGCTTTGAGCTCGGTCGCAGTTTTGTTCCAAACCATTGTTCTTCTGTCCACGGAGCCTCTGTCGTTTTTTCATTCTGCAATAGTTTGTCTGATGGAAAAACTGTTCCAACACCCAATAAGTCTTCAAATGAGGGGGATTACCTATATTATTTATTTAACTGTAGTTTGGTTCACCCTTTTCTTTACCTACTTCAAGATCTTTTTTGCAGCCAGAGCAGCTAATTCAGCTGACGGGAATGCAACAAAGGCCAGGAACACCATCCTGCTTCACGGCGTTCAGCTCCTCTTGTGCATGCTGACATATTTAGACCCTTTGGTCAAAACTCATTTAATCGGCTCGTTCCCTAACATTTCTAGTCATTTACGCTACGTTTGGTATATCATTGTGGACGTTCTTCCCAGGTTTATCAGTCCCATTGTGTACGGGCTGAGAGACAAGACGTTTAAACTGTATTTGAGAAAAAGCTTTAAAACTTTAACGTAAATATTTCCTTTGGCGCAGTAAGATATGAAGTAGGAATAAAACGTTTATAATACTGTGATCCTGAACCATTCTTTTGGTTGAGGCTGCAGTACGACAGCCCACTGTGTTCTGGTAGCGAAACAGCATCGGTGTGTCAACGTATGAAAAAACTGACAAACACGCCGGAGTGAGTCACAGAAGTGTAAGTTGAATAAGTTTATCAGCACGTTGAGATACAATGGCATATAAGTTTCTTGTATGCTGATGCCAACTCAAAATTTTGTGCAAGCACAAAACTATTAGCGTATGTCGATGTGTTGCTGAGATGGCATAAGTTACAGGTATGCAACTGGTAAGGTATGCACAAGTTCACACAAGTTACATGTAAGTTACTCATAAGTTGACAGAAATCAGCTAATTGTGCAGCGTACGCGTAACTTAAGTTTTAACCTTTCACTTTACTACACCTACTTTTGAACTCATTAAAATGGGGATCTGTTTACTGACCAATAGCTGCTTAATTCATTTGTTCGTGCTTTAATAATCAGAGCTCAGTAACTGAGGTAGTATTTGTTAAATACAGGGAACTCGATATGAATTAACTGGACTTTGGTTTCAGAACTGGCTCCATTTCTTTGCCCGTGTCTCTGTTTCCACTCTGTGCTTCAAAGGATCGCACATGACTGACTGGATGGAACATTTTTGAAGACTAAGCATTCACTTTGGATTATAATTCCTTTTTCTTCATTGACTAAAGAGATCATCGGACACCTGTTACTTGAAACTTGATCCTTAAATGGTTACCTGGCTGAACTCGTTGAAGTTTCTTCCAATGACTCGTGGATTTGGTTTGCTGCGACTCAAGAGCCATCTGGATTAGCCTCGACTTCCCAATGGGGGATTATGTAGCATGAAGAAGAGCTCTATTGACTAGAAACTGAATCTGAGGGGGTCAATGGAATTTAGGTAAAGATCATGGATGTTTATCACTAACCAATGTTAAATTAATGTGTTGAGAGTTGTTTTGACTGATCAACCTGCAGGCACATGGAGGCACCTGATAAACCTCCAAGGCCTTCTCTGAGTCTGCAAACTGGCAGATCAAGGTCATCAGTGTCTGATAAGCATCATACAAAGCTTTTCTTGATACGATCCATAGCAGACCTCACGACCGGAGCTTCAGTGTAACATCTGTGTAAGCCTGTGTGTGAACTCTGCTCCTTTCAAGTAGTAAACCGGATAAATTCTTCTTGCGTCCTCAGCGTGGCTTATTTTCAGGAAGTAGATTGTTACAACCCTTGGACTGAGTCTAGTAAATTGTAAACCAATAACTCAAAAACAGCCCAATTTGGCATTACAGTAATTTATTCTTCTAATCGTTTTGGGCGTTACGGACAGAAGGGAAGTCATGAACTTCAGGGTCTCCAAGACCAAAACAACAAACAAAAGAACGCTTCTTCTGGCTGGAAAACAAAATCACTTCTTATAAAAACTACAATTCCTAAAGACATCAAGGTTCATGCTCGATAATACAGGTAAAAAAAAAAAATCCAACAATGGTCGGTCAGGTCATCTGGACAGTTTATTTTTGAGAGATCTTTCACCCTCCATCTGAAGGGCTTCATCAGTCTGAAGAGTTCCAAACAACTCCTCAGCTCCCTGGCCACAAAACAGGAGAAAACTTAGTTTTTAAAAAATGGCAGAGAATCCCAAACTTCCCAAGTAAAAGTTCTTAAATAATAAAGTTCACAGAAGATCACAAAGATCAACTAAGTGTTGTTAAATCATTTGGTACACACAGTTAAATTCAAGAGTCAACCACACAACAACAATGCTCAGCAGGAAGAGGAAATGTACACGGGAAAAGGGGCGTGGCTTGATCCCTGAAGCTTTTATGCAGTCTAGTGATGAGGAGGAAGTGATTCCAGGTGTGCAGCATGATGTGACCGCAGGCCTGCAAACAAGCACAGAAGGAGAAAGGTTGTCCTCTAGTAAGAAAACCCCTAAAAGTCAGTGGATGTAACACAGATAATGAACGGATATTTATTTGATCCAGCAGAGAGTGTCCATCAGATTGTCGTGGAACTCTTAATACCTTTCGATAAATGCTAACGTGCTTATTTTAAACTTTCAATGAAGAAAACAGAGAACATTAAATTTCAGATTCAGAGTTCATGGTCAGCAGAGCGCTTCTTCATGCTACACAGGGAACAAATGAGCAACTCGTGACTCCCGCTGGATCTATGATCTATGGATCACCACAGAGATGGAGGCGACGGGAACAAACAGGATGAAGGGGAGGTAGAAATACTGAGGAGGGTGATTGGTGAATGAGAACCAAAATAACTGACGGCACACAGAAGTGAGAAACCGAGAAACAACGGGAGTTGAGGGAAACAATGACTAGAGAAATAGATTTTTTAATATATAGTGTGAGTACTACGTGCAGAACTACTGTCGAAACATGTTGCATAAAACTAAACATGAAAACATTAAAACACCATCTAAAAGTTGCAAAAACTAACAAACTGTTTGCTAAAATGTGAAAATGCAAGCTAAAAGCTAAAACTAACCAACCCTAGCTAAAAGTATTAGCATTAACAGTGCTCATAGTAGTATTAGAAGTATGCTGAAGTAGATATTTTAGAGTGAAGTGATCTTAAAGTATTTTTTAACATAACATCCTGGAAATGAAGTTAAACATTTTTCTTAAATTTAAAAGTTGCAAAAGTTAAGTCAGCACGTCTCCTCACTGAGCTGAACGTTTTTATGAACAATTTAAAACACGTGCAGGAAAACCGTGAAAACGCAGCGTGAATGTGTTTAAAACGCAGCTTTGTGGTACAAAGTACATAAAAAGACAAATTTTTTTTTGGTCACTTTTCTCTTGTGATACAAAAAACAACAAAAAGAGTCAATCTTTGTGTGGCGTTTTATCTATTTTCCAACATTTCACCCATAGAACGCATAAAATGTAAAAATCAGATGTTTGTCTTTTTGGAAAAAAGATGAAACATAACAATACAAGAAGCTTCTGGAGCGTAATCCTGTAAATTTGATAAATTTTCCATCAAAGTGACCTTGCTGAACAGTCCAAAAAAAATTATTGGTGTTATTAGTGGGTCATTTTGCACAGATAAATAGTTTTTCATCTTCTGGAGAATTTTATCTTTAAATTTGTTCATTAAAATCTGGCAAGCTGATACTGTTTTAAAACATAAAATAAAGTTAAAAAAAAGTTATTTGATTTTTCTTCCAGTCATTTTGCAGTCGACTCCAGACAGCGAAATAATTTAATTAATACAAGAGAGAATTTGGTCATTACGTCACACGTTGGCAGGGCTTTAAGCAACGGGAAACTTTAAAAGACAGATTTTACTCTCGTCCTGTCGGTCGACGTCGAGCCTGAAGAGATCTGTGAGGTAGGACGACTTTTTGTTTAACTTCTCTGTATTTCTGTTCTTTTACTGCATTTTTATGCATTTCATTCTCAAAATTGCACTTTTATGTCATTTAATAGTAGCATATATTTCTTACAAAAACATCACAAGTTGGTGTTTCTTGAAAAATATATATAATATTGCATTTTACATGGTATTTTAACTAAATGTTAGCTGCATAATTGAGAAATAAAAGGTCAAAGTTGTACTTTTATTTTTCCTCTTGTGTTTATAGCAGCGATAAAATCAGGATGGACACAATAAATAACATTTTTATACAAAATGTGGTGCCAAGAATATTAAATTTAAACTATTTTCTTTACGACACCATGATTTTATCAGATTTCTGATGTTCTCTCAGCATATTTCAATTGTTAATGTATGCTCATAGTCTGTTTTCTCAAATTCAAACAAAATCAAAAGAACATTTTTACCATTTTCTTGTTTTTTACACTTTAGAGGCAACAAGGATGTCCAGTAAGAAAAGATGCACTGTAAAATATGTCACATTATTGTTGAGTTATAATTTTAAAGTGGTTTTTGGAGGTCAGAGGATTTCTTCTCTCTGCTTGTTATATTTACATGCATGGTTGTTAAATGTGTAGAATTATTTATTTGTTTATTGTTGTTTGGTTCTCATCATGAATGTCCTGAGGTTAACGCTTTTTTTGGGGTTTTGTCTTTTTCTATTTTTCTCCCAACTGCTCAAAACAAAAAGCTGTTCTGCACGTTGGGACTGTTTCTCCCCCGCTGAATGATGCCGGCTCCAGATGGAGATTTCACTGAACACATATATAAATATTAACTAACAATCTTTTCTATAAAATGAGTTATATAAAATTAAATAATATGAAGGCACTGGCTTGGATTAGAGTTTAATTGTCCCAGGTCAAATGAGAAACTGGTTCTCAAACATTTCACCTGGTAAAAAAAAAAAAGTGAAATAAATAAAACTGATAAAAATATATATTGTTTTGTGTTTATAATTTACATTCTCTATATACTTTTTAGTGCCTTGATGTGATTTTTGTTGTAATTAGTTTCTACTTAGAGAAACCAAACTGGATGTTGTTAGTTTGACTTGAACTCTGTAACTGGGGACATAAAGATAAAAGACGTGGCTCCAGCAGCTGTTGATCGATGACGGCTTCTGATGACGTGCAGGTTTACAATAAGAAGGTTGCAGGTTCAAACCCAAGCTGGGGCCTTTCTTTGTGGAGTGTGCATGTTGCCCTTGTGCATGTGTGAGGGGTTTTCTGAGTAATCTTCCCACAGACCAAAACATGCACATTTCACTAAGCCTGTCACGATAAACAATAAATCAATTAATCGCATGATAAATTAAAATTATCAACCTCATTTTCATTTATCGGCTTTATCGTTTCTTAGTGTCTCTCTCTTTCTACTGAAGACACTGGACGACAAAAAGCTAAACTCCAGTGTTCTTCACTGACCTCACCCTTTCTCTTTTCTCTTTAAAATCTGTTTTAACCGTCCAAAATCGTGTTTTCAGATCGTTAAAAGCAGCTAAGCTACGAGCTAAGCTAACAGGCCGACCTCCGGGAAAAAAACTCCATCTTGTCGAAGCTCCAAAATTCACGGTTGAAACCTGTGCCTTCGTCTAAAAAGTTGTTTTTCTCTACAAAAAGAAGCTGAGAACTTGTTTACTGATTTTTTTATTAAAAGCTTTGTGTGAAAAATGCTATGCTAAAGAGCTCAAACCACACCGAGCGTCCGCCATTTTGAGAACAGAAAAAAGGGAGGAGAGACAACCCATGTCACGTCAAGGGGCCTCCCTCCCATTTTTCTTAAAGAGACACTGCTCGCTCCCTCACTATCCATCCTTCGGTTCAAACAGTCTTGTACTGCGATGCAGTGGTCAAAAAAGGTACTACACTCAAAACAAATCAACATTTCATCTTAAATTTGACAATAATTACTAATTATTGTCAAATTTCAAACAATATTATCATTCATCGCAATAATTTCTGAGACAATTAATCGCCCAGTAAAATTTGTTATCGTGACAGGCCTACATTTCAGGGGTGTCAAACTCGCATACAACAGGGGACCAAATTTAAAACCTTTTTCAAACTAAGGTCCAATTTCAGAAACTACATTAACTCAAGTCCGATCGCCAACATCTTTTCTTGGTCACAGCTTCCTCAACAAGAGTTCGATCGGTCTCACTTGATGTTCTCTGTTGCACTTTCAACATCTTAATCAAAGATTACTGGAAAAAATGAAAGTGATTGAAGTATTTTACGTTTAAGATGTCAACGAAGGCCACGTTTGGCCCCTGGGCCTTGAGTTTGACACATGTGATGATAGGCCCTGTGATGGACACCCAGCCTGTCCTGATTGTGTCCCACTTGTCCTTTGTCCTCTGGAGACGGCACCAGGTCCCTGCGGCCCTGTGCGCAATAGGCAGAGGAAAATAGTGGAAGTAAATATCAGCTTTGAGTTTTCTCAGCCTTATTTTGAATATGCTGCAGGCCTGAAATGGTGACATGAATCTAAAGTGATGAATTAAATTAAGTTGGTAGAAGATAACTCAGTTTGGATTCATCTAAAATAAATAAAATTCAAGGTTAACATAAGAGTTAGTAGTTTTTAATATATTAGCAAACTGTTTGGTGTTTTTCTGGTTATCAGCTGTAAAAACACTTTTGTTTCATGTCAAAGATCTGTAGCTACTGTCCTGTTAAGATTTACAAAGTTAACATGTTTTCTTTTAAGGGCAGGATATTCCACCATGAATTCCTCATCCAGCAGCTACAACGTGTCCAGTCTGTTCATCGTCGACAGCGCGAGCGCAGCTGCAGCCAAAAACGTGACCGTCCTCGCAGTCGGGATCATCATCAACTACATCAACGCCACTCTGATCCACACCTTCAGAAAACACCAGGTCTGCATCTGTTGGCACGTTTTTTTTTTTTTTTTAATTAACGCTCAGAGAAAAGAACGAATCAAAAAATCCTCACATGAAGGCTTCTTCTTCTGTCTTTCAGATATTTGTCACGAACCCTCGTTACATCCTCTTCATCCATCTTGTTGTGAACGATATGATCCAGCTCACCATGTCAATATCAATGTTTGTCATATCTTACGTCTTCTTCCAAGTTAATATTTTCCTCTGTTGCCTCTTGTTAATCTTGGCCATTTTCACCACCCTGAACACGCCCATAAATTTAGCCGTGATGGCTGTGGAGTGCTACATCGCCGTGTGCTTCCCTCTGCGGCACGCTGAGCTCTGCACCGTCAAACGGACTTACGTTCTGATCGCTTGCGTTTGGGCTTTGAGCTCCGTCGCAGTCATCCCTGAGTTCCTCTTTCTTTTGGCCACACAGCCTGTGATGGTGTTTTACTCCACAACGTATTGTGTTGCTCAAGTTCTGTACCGAAACCCGGTAAGTTCACAAAAGAGGGAGGTTACGTACATGATTTGTTTCTCTGGAGTGTGGCTCACCCTCGTCTGCACATATTTCAAGATCTTCTTCGCAGCTCGAGCTGCTAATTCGGCTGACGGAAATAAGAAGAAGGCCAGGAACACCATCCTGCTTCACGGCTTTCAACTGTTGCTGTGCATGCTGACGTATTTAGACCCTGCGGCTATTCGACTTTTTATGTTGCTACTTCCCAAATATTATCATCATATGAACTTTGTTTGGTACGTCGTTGTCCATATTCTTCCCAGGTTAATCAGTCCCATTCTTTACGGGCTGCGAGACAAAACTTTTAAACAGTATTTGAAAAAATACCTGCTGTGTACTATCAGACCAGGCATCACACCCCATTAAAACCACAATATTTGCATATTTTATGCTTTTTTTTTTTTGAATCAATAGAATGTTTATTTGTATTTTGTACACAGTTTTTACCAAAGTTTAAGCTTTTGAGTCAACGACGACCGTTGCTGACTGAAGTAAAAAATGTTCCTATAAGGTCATTTAACAAAGAAGCTGTTGTATTATTTTATTAAGTCGTAACCAGTTTTTATTTCTTTATAAATATGTGATTTACAATAATATTTATATTATAATTTAATTCCTGTAGACCTTCTGTTGACCCCACACTTGATGTTTCATGTCCCACCTTGAGCACCTCAACCCCAACTTTAGGAACCACTGCCCTTACAGACTCTTCATGAATACATTTTAATCTTTCTGACTCTTAACATTCTTTACTTTCACTTTATATATATTTTCCTACTGCAGAGATTGTGGGGGGAAAGCATAAAAAAAATAAAAATAAGTTGTAATTAATTAAAGCCCTGTGTTGTTGACATTTTCCTGGCTCCTGCTTACATGCCCCCGCTGAGACGCTCCAGACCGGTTCAAAAGAAAGTTAAATGTTGGATCCAGGACAGTGGCCCCATACTGAGAGATTGTTTTGATCGAACAGACTGGCAGGTTTTCAGAGAAGCTGCTGAAAATGGAGGTTCGCTTGATCTTGACCAATACACATCTTCAGTACTGGGTTACATTAGTACATGTACTGACACAGTCTCCACTATCAGAAATGTTAAAAGCTACCCAAACAGAAAACCTTGGCTGAATGCAGAGGTGCGTACCCTGCTGGAAGCCAGGAACACTGCCTTCAGGTCTGGAAACTCAGAGGAGCTGAGTAGGACAAGAAAAGAGCTGGTTGCTGGTATTAAGAGGGCCAAGGCCACATATGCAAAGAGGATCGAGGGTCAATTCATCTCACAAGACCCTCGGAGCATGTGGAGGGGCATTAAGTGCATAACAGATTATAAAGGAAGGAGTGAACAATGTCCCAAAGACCCATCTCTGCCTGATGCCCTCAACAAGTTCTATGCACGCTTTGAAGACCCGAACAGACCACCCAGCACCAGACTCACCTCACCACCGGATGAAGAGCATCTCAGCGTGACCTCAGCAGAAGTAAGGAGTACCTTCAGGAGGATTAATCCGCACAAAGCAACTGGCCCAGACAACATCCCCGGAAAAGTGTTGAAGGAATGTGCTGATCAGCTCTGTGAGGTGCTGGCAGACATCTTTAACACCTCACTTACCCTGGAGACAGTTCCCACCTGCCTGAAGACTGCCACCATCATCCCAGTCCCAAAAAGCTCTACAGTGACTGGTCTGAATGACTATCGGCCAGTGGCCCTCACCCCGATAGTCGCTAAATGCTTCGAAAAACTGGTCATGACTCACATCAAAACAACCATCAACATCAACGAGGACCCTCATCAGTACGCATACCGTGAGAACCGATCAACAGAGGATGCAATCTCCTCTGTGGTCCACACTGCACTCAACCACCTGGAGCAAAAAAACTCTTACGTCCGTATGCTCTTTGTGGACTTCACATCCGCCTTCAACACCATGATCCCCCAAACCCTGATGGACAAACTATCCACACTAGGACTAAGCCCCTCCATCTGCAACTGGGTACTAGACTTTTTAACAAACAGACCACAGTTAGTGAGGATCCACAACCTCTCCTCCTCCACCATAACCCTCAGCACTGGCTCTCCTCAGGGATGTGTGTTGAGCCCCCTTCTGTTTACTCTGCTCACATATGATTGTGCAGCTACCCATCCAGGCTGTCACATTGTAAAGTTTGCAGATGATACAGCGGTGGTGGGATGCATCACAAACAATGATGAGTCCAGCTACAGGCAAGAGGTGGAACACCTGGAGAGCTGGTGCAGAGAGAATAACCTTCACATCAATGTGAAGAAGACAAAGGAGATGATTGTGGACTTCAGAAGGAACAAAAACACCTACACCCCCCTGAACATAAGAGGATCTGCGGTGGAAGTGGTCTCCAGCTACAAGTACTTGGGTGTACACATGAATGACAACCTCAGCTGGAGCAACAACACCACCAGCCTGATCAAGAAAGCTCATCAGAGACTCTACTTCCTCAGACGGCTGAGGCGAGCTGGTCTGGGAAGCTCAGTCCTCACCTCCTTCTACAGGTGTGCAGTGGAGAGCATCCTGTGCTCGAGCATCAATGTGTGGCATGGAGGCTGCACAGCTGCAGAAAGAAAAGCTTTGCAGAGAGTGGTGAAGGCTGCACAGAAATCTGTTGGAATCAGTCTCCCCACCATCACAGACATCTACACCTCCAGATGCAGGAAGAGGGCCACCTGCATCATGAAGGACCCCACCCACCCAGCACACACACTTTTTGCCCCACTCCCCTCAGGAAGGAGGTTAAGGAGCATTAAGTGTAGAACCACTAGACTGAGGAACAGCTTCTACCCTGAGGCTGTTAGACTCATGAATCTCTAACTAGAATAATCACTGTGAAAAACCATATCATGTTGCTGCTGATCTGTTTCATGTTGCTGCTGATCTGTTTCAATGTTGATGTGTTCATGCGTGCACATCTGCTCACAGACTCATGTTCATGTTTGTGCTGATGTTCAATGTTTTATGTTATGAGTGCTTAGTGTATATTTAGTTGATGTTTTTCTTAGTTCATATCTTAGATGTTATTACTGTTTTTCTTATACATTTTATTGTTGGATGTAACTGGGACCCTGTGTACATAATTTCGCTCCACCACATGTACCACATGAGGTGCGAATGACAATAAAGAAACTCTGACTCTGACTCTGACTCTGATTTTGTACAATAATTGCTACATTTAGTCTGACCCCTTCAGGGTGGGAGTTGGACTCTGCTGGTCGTCATCGATTCTGTTCATCACTTTTAGGGACAGAATTTCTCGGGAGGAGAGGGTCCAGTTCGGTGACCTCAGTATTCCATCTCTCCTCTTTGCAGATGATGTGGTCCTGTTGGCGTCATCGGGCCGTGAGCTTCAGCTCTCACTGGAGAAGTTCGCAGCCGAGTGTGAAGCGGCTGGGATGAGAATCTCAACATCTCAGACCATGGTCCTCAGTCAGAAAAGGGTGGATTGCTCTCTTTGGGTCGAGGGAGAGGTTCTGCCTCAAACAGAGGATTCAAATATCTCGGGGTTTTGTTCACAAGTGAGGAAAGAAAAGAGCGTGAGATTGACAGATGGATTGGTGCAGCGTCTGCAGTATTGTGGACTCTGTACCGGTCCGTTGTGGTGAAGAGGGAGCTGAGCTGTGAGGCAAAGCTCTCTGTTTAACAGTTGGTCTACGTTTACTGTTTACCTACAATGTAATCTCATATGCAACTGAGTGTAAACACACACACACGTATGCACGCGCACATGCACACACTCAACCTGGAATGCATATATGCCGCGACTTTTCTTCCTCACCTTCTGTTCCTGTGGCGCATCATGAGGTGAGTCAGACTGTTCGGTTCTTTGTGTACAAATACATCATTTATTACTTTATGACCATTTTCTGTGAAAATACATTTTTCTTTTAAAATTTATATCCATCCATTACCCGCTTCTTCCTTTTCAGGTCACGGGGGTCACTGGTGCCCATGTCCTTATATTCATCACAGTAAATATAATTATGTACTAATCATAAAATAAGAACGTCTCTGATTTAGATTATTTGAAGTTTGCTTTTGCTGTTATCAAAGTAAATAATAAGTGTTCAATAATTTGACTCCTGTACTCAAAACTTTGAGCTGATGTAGTTTGGCAGATTCATCAGAAAACAGTTTATAACAGCAGAAGCTTTATATAAAATAACAGCAAAAAGAAAAATGGTGATTTGTTTTAGAATGAGGACATTAAATGTGTGAATTATACTTAACATGTTGTACTTTTACACCTAAATGAAGCATATTTATGTGTTGAAATGTATTTAATCTATTTTATTCCTCAAACCTTTTTGTGTGTGGAAAACAAGATCTTTATTATAAAACTATATAACCTTTAGTTTAACAGGTAAGTTGAGAACCACTTGTTAAAGACGGCCTGGACAGGAGGCAGCAACATAAAACATAAAACAGCCTTGATAAAAGCAGATGTGACACAAATTGCATAAATTAACGTATTTAAACATATATTTTTAAAGCATTGTGAACATTACTAACAGATTCAGGCATTGTGAAACTTAAAGCACGTGCAGTGATCTTGTACTAGTTAAAGTAGTGAACTTTTAAAAGAGGACAGCGTGATAAATTAGTTGAACTTTAAGTTCCCTTGCAAAAACATTTGAACTGATCAGCACAAAAAAATTGATTTTCAGAGACTTTTATCCAGATTTTAATTAATTTGTTTAAATTAATACTTGACTGAATGATGGTTAACATTGTCATCATTTTGCTTCCATCTAAAACCTTTAAATAATAATATTAACACACTGCAAAAAGAAATTCTGTAATTTTTACAAAATAAAACTGGGTTGCCAGAGAAATTCTGTAAAAAATAGTGTGAACATGTAAATAGTTTTACAGAGTCTGTAAATTCAAGTTTTACTAAGTAAGATTTACATATTATTCTATAAACATATATACATTTTACTGTACTTATTACGTCACTATATATATATTTTTTTTTTTTTTTACAGAATTATTTATGGATAAGTATATTTAAAACATGTAAATTTAATATTTTTATCCTCTGCAAATGCCTGTATTTTATTGACTGTTTTTTTTAAATAACTGTTTATTGAACATTATTTTTATGCTAACTCACAAGTTAAGAATTGTTAAATTTACTTGTTTTAATGTACCTATCCATAAAATATTCTGTAAAATGTATTTTTATGTATTTTTACATAAAAAAAACCTTGTAATAAGTACAGTGAACATGTGTTTATGTTTACTGAATAATATGTAAAACTGTGGAAATCACTGGTTACTCTGTAAAACTGTTTACATGTTCACAGTATTTTTTACAGATTTTTTCTGCCAGTTTTTGTTTTTATTTTCTAAATATTACAGAATATTTTTTACAGTGATTGAAATATGGGCAAAAAAAACACACCAAAAAAAAAAAACGCCTTTCAAAAACTTTATTTTTAAAATACTGAACAAGTCTCCGTCATCTGTTTACAACAGTAATAAAAGAAAATGTAAAGAGGGAAAAAAAAAATCAATTTTTTTTGTCAATTCTAGCAAAATAGCAGTTTAGCCATTGCTTTCTATAAATGTGGATGGCACCAGTGCAGAAAATATATTTTTAATAATTCTATTAGGTTGTACATTGACGTATAGTGAATGTTTAAATAAATAAACATTTTTTATCTGTTAATTTCTATATTGTCTCAAGATTTGACAAATGTTTGATAATCCCTGAACATCACAGACGCTGGTTCTGGGTGTAACTAATCAGCTGATTTAAAACCACGTTATTCTGTTATAACCTGATAAATATCCCTCTCCAGTTTTTCAGAACGTGTCATCGGTTAGCCTCCGAGTTCCCTCATCCCTGACATGAACGTCACGTCCACTGTGACCCGGGACTCCGTGAGCGTGGCCATAGCCAAGAATGTGATCACGGTCGTCCTCTCCCTCGCCGTCATCGGTGTCAACGGCACTCTGGTGCACACGTTCAGACAGCATCAGGTAGAACATCAGGCACAGCTGGAGCTTCTAGACCTGCTTTGTTTGAGTGAACCAGTCTGAGGAACGTCTGAACACGTTTTAGTTACGGTGGAAAAACTTCATTATAAAAGCATCTATCATCAGCAAAGTTGCATTTTATTCTTATTATTTTATCTGTAGAACCATTTCAAAGACCAATCGTGTGAATAAACTCTTAACGTCGCGTTTGGAAAGTGTCACATTTTAAATATGGATGTTGATACAACTTCGTGTTTTAAAGATTTTCAATGAATTTTGTTTGGTCAACCTAACCAGAGGGTGCCAGAATACATACAACTGAACATAAAAACAACTTACGCAGCAAATCTGAGAGAAAATACATAAAAAACTGAGACTTCTCCATCTCATATTACCATTCTATAGATGTCAATGGAGTTTAGTACTTTTTAGTCATTTTATGTAAACAAACACACGAGGTGATTTCATCTGGTCACAAATTTTGCTCAAAAATGTTTATTTAGGGAAACATGAGGAAAAATTGTCTTGATGCTGATCAATAATCCAGGTAGATTAATCTAAACAGGTTAAGTCTGGTCTTCTGGACAGATTCTTCTTTGCTGAAATGTTTCGTCTTTTATCCAAAGGACTTCTTCAGTCTGAGGAGCTGCAACAAACTCAGTCTTATAAATAGCACCTTCTCATAATGGACCAACCAGTTTGCTGCTGACATCCAGAACTAATTCCAATTAAATTCAGTTCGGTTTATTTATAAAGCGCCGAGTCACAGCAGAAATCATCGCAGGGCACTGAACAGAAACATTCATATTTAAAAAATAATAATTTAACATTATTTATCTGAGGAGCCAGAACCAGGCTCAGGACAAGTGGTCATCTGCTTCAACCAGCTGGGTTTGGTAGGAATAGATACACAATGGCAGGTCAGGAATCACATGTTAAGATAGAAATAGTATCAAATTAAAACAATTCTATTTTAACAATTAATTTAAGGAAATGAGGTCAGTTTGTCCTCCAGTAGTCTAAACCTATAGCAGCATAACAAGCCAACTAACTATAGGATTCATCAAAAAGGAAAGTCTTAAAACTGGACCATGTGTCAGTCTCATGGACAGAAACTGGAAGTTGGTTCCACAAGAGAGGAGCCTGAGAACTGACAGATCTTCCTCCCGTTCTGATTTTGAAAACTCTAGGAACCACGAGTAAACCTGCAGTTTGAGAGCAAAGTGCTCTGTTAGGAAAATATGGAACAATAAGATCTCAAATATAAGATGGAGCTAGGTTGTTGAGGGCTTTGTAGGTTAGAAGTAGGATTTTGAATTCAATTCTGGATTTGACAGGGAGCCAGAGGAGAGAAGCTAAAACTGGAGAGATACAATCTCTCCCAGTAACTCCAGTTAAGACTCTGGCAGCAGCATTTTGGATCAACTGAAGACGTTTTAAAGAAGTATTTGGACACCCAGATAATAAACCACTGCAATAGACCAATCTAGACGTGACAAATGCCTGAACCAGTTTTTCTGCATCATTTTTAGATGTTTCTAATTTGAGCGAGATTACGCAGGTGGAAGAAGGCGGCAACAAACCAAACGAAAACAAAGCAGAATGAGGAGCAATAAGCCATTCGTGGCCTTTCTGTAAATGGGTTTTGCACGGATTCGTTTACATCTGGAGCAAAGGAACTTTTGTCAACATGGCTCAAAATAGAGATTTCAAAAAGGACCACGAACAACCACTGATTCTAACACATTCTTTAATAAGTAATTTGCGGAAACATTTATTGTCCGAAGATGATTAAAGTCAAAGGATGGTTGGCTGTGTTGAACATTTTAGCAACATTTTATATTCAACACCTTAAACTTGAAAAATATGGATTTTATGTTTGCTTTTGTGGAAGTAATATTATTACAACAAGATATTATCCAGAAAGTTGAAAACTTGGTGTACATAGAATAAGTTATTTGTTAAATTACAATGTTTTAAAACATTTTTATCAACAGTCACAACATACAGTAAATCACTTTAGTGAATATTCTTTTACAAACAGTAGAACCGTTTGAAGGTAAATTTTGAATTAAAATTCTAATTTAGCATACCGTCATAATCATACTGCAATTTTACACTCCACCATAGAATATCACATCTTTTGCATCCGTTTTGCTGAGCTTTGGCCCCTAGATAAAATAGATATCTGACTGGGTGTGTAAACAAAGTTAATCATCTAATCAAATACTTAGTATAAGCACAATTCTATTACGCAGTGAATGAGAGCTTTGAGTGAAATATTATTTCTGAATCATGTACGTAAGCTAACAACGGAAACAAACCAAAGAAGTGACACTTTGGACAGAAACGTTTTTAATGTGGGGGATAAAAGGCACGTCCTGATCAAAAATAACACCAAGTATTTTAACATTTGTAACTTTAACTAGTTGCTCAAATGTTAAAGGAGGAGCATCAGCCTAACGATTGATTGTCAGCACCCTGATGGCCGCTTGCTATTCACAGACGACTGATCAGCAGCAACAGAATTGTAAGAGGGGGACAGTTGAACATGGAGATCTCCGCTCCCGTTTAATGATGGACAGTTTCTCTTAACCAAGATGGCTTCCTTCACTCCTCTCTCAAACCAGCGTTCCTCATGTGGACATCTTCATCCCTGAAAGGGTGACCACTGGCCTGGAGATGAGTGTAGACCTCAGAGTCTAGATCCCTTTAGTTGGCAGCTCAGAACATAGAGAACTCCATGGACGTAGTGGATAAGGTGAGGGGTGTAATATGGTCTCTTTTGATGTCACCTCACTCTTTGCATGTGCTCCTGTTGATGAGGCAGCGGAGTCTGTTTTAGGTTGAATCAGACACCACTCTGAGCAGCAGGACCCATCCAGAGAACTTTACTCCACCTTGTTGGATGAGGGAAAACTAGATTTTGTTTCTTCCTTTTTATTTACTTATCATTTCTTGCAATGAGAACCTTAATTTTATGAAAGAGTTGAGATAAATATTTATTCAGTCACGTATTTATAGTGTTTTTCTTCTTGTTTCAGGTTTTCCACATGAACTCTCGTTACATCCTCTACATTCATCTGGTGCTCAACGACATCATCATGTTAGCGTTGACCATCCTCCTTCAAGTTCTCAGTTACATCCTGTTCACTCTCAATGTCTCTTTCTGCATCGTAATGCTCATGGTTGCCGTATCTTCTAACCTGAACAACCCTTTGACCCTGGCTGCCATGGCTCTGGAGTGCTACCTGGCCATCTGCTTCCCTCTGCGCCACCCTCAGATCTGCACTGTCAGGAAAACGTGTGTCGCCATCGCTGTGATTTGGTTCCTGAGCTCTCTTACAGTCCTGCCAGATCTGTTCGTAGTCTTGGCCACGAGACCCGCAGAATATTTTCACTCCAGGGTTTTCTGCATGTGGGCAAATGTTTTTACAGACCCGCAGCTCGAAAAGAAGAGAGACGTTTCCAACATTCTGTATTTGGTTTTGGTGTGGCTCACTCTTTTCTTTTCATACTTCCGGATCCTTTTCACTGCGCAGGCAGCTTCTGCAAACGCCAAGAAAGCCAGGAACACCGTCCTGCTGCACGGCTTCCAGCTGCTGCTGTGCATGCTGAGCTACGTTCACAACATCATGGTGCAAGGCCTCTCAAGTCTGTTCCCAAAAGACGCTCTGGCCATTCGATACGTGATTACTCTGCTGATTCAGGTCATGCCGAGGCTCATCAGTCCCATGGTCTATGGGATCAGAGACAAGATGTTCAGGAAGTACCTGAAACAATGTTTGTTACCCTCCACAAACTCAAATATTCATCCTGAGAAGACGGAAAAGAGCAAGATATGAGGAAATCAGAGAAAATGAGGTTTTCAGTCCGGACTGTAGAGAGCACCAGAACATACGCCACACACACTAACTAGAATCATAATTAAAAAATTTAACTGTTTGCACTTATATAAGCCGTGCTTGTGTACAAGCCACATGTGTTCATGTTGTAACAGGAGTGGCAGCACACAGCTGCTGAGAGAGATGTGCAGCTCTTGTTGTAGATCAAGATTCAACCACCAGATGGCGCTTTATAGACTTTATCTTCCTGTTCAACACACACACAGAGTGACCTACGGTGGCCCTGAGGTGCAAATGAACAACATTTAAATAAACTAAATTAAATTTGAAAAAAAAGCAACAATATTTGAAAGAACGGAAGTACATTAAGTCAACACGGAAGTGGCCAAAGCAGAAGTGGCAGGAATCATATTTGAAAAACAAAATTATATTTAAAAAAATGGAATTGCTTTAAGCCAAAGCTGAAGAGGAAGTGGCCAGAATCACATTTGAGAAAAAAACGGAGTTACGTTTCAAAAAAGGAAATTGAATTTGAAGAAGAAAAAACACACACACACAACAAGAAGAAGAAGAAGAAACATTTGAAAAAATGGAATTACATTTGGAAAAAAAATACAACCAAAAAAACGCAATTACAATAAACCAAAGCGAAAGTAGCCGAAACGGAAGTGGCCAAAGTGGAAGTGGCTGGAATCACATTTGAGAAAAATGGAATTACATTTCAAAAAACTAAATTAAATTTGAAAAACACAACAAAAACTCAACAACATTTGACAAAACGGAATCACATTTGAAAAAAAAAAAATTTAATGTAGTGTAATTCCGTTTTTTTCAAATGTTGTTCATTTACACCTCAGGGCCACCGTAGTGACCCCCACAGGTCTTCATGACAACTACCTCCCTCCCTCATGGAGACTACTGACTGGTTTAACACAAACTAACACATAATGAACATAAACTAACCAAAATGATTAACAATGAACACAAATTTTACCCATAATCCCTCCCTGAGGCCATGTGACCAACAGCCAACCACAAAGGACCACCAAATGCTACAATAACCAGTAACATACACAAATACGTACAGAAAATGTTTTATTTGAACAATGCTGGTAACACAGCTGGTAAAAAAAAATACAGTAGCCAACCAGGAAGTCATTGATCGCTAACTTCATCTTCCTCCTGCTCCACAAAGCAAAAGTTGCTCTGCGAGCATGTGAGACTCACATGCTCCGTGCACGACCTCCCCATTCTCTTCTCCCCTCCCAGTTTCATTGGTTTTGACTCGGTAATTTCATCAGTCAGATTTTTTATTTTTTTTTTAACCTTTATTTATTCAGGTAGTCTCACTGAGTCACGAGGACCCACCTCCCAAGAGAGACGTGTACAGGGCAGCTATGTGAGCGCCCAGGTGTGACGAAGCTAAATGTTTTTTGTGACAGGAAGCTCATTAGCCCGTCAAAAAAAAAAATAATAATAATCCATAAATTAGCTGCAGCTGCAGAGTTCAAAGCCTGTGAAAAAGCAGCGGCTTATATTCCAGAAATGACGGTGATTTGAAACAGCTCCGTTTGGATGATTAAAACAACAAACTTTACATGTTCTCATTCTTCTTTGGATTTGTTTGAGCGCTTCCTGTCATACAGTTTTGCTGCACACAAGCGTCTTCGTGTAAGTGTTTTAAGTCTTTGCTCGTTTTCTTTTTTCTGATGGATAATTAAAGAAACTGGATTTGGTGACAGCGTGAATGTTGTTTTCATGTGAATTATTTTTACTCAGCAGATTTAGCCGGTATCATGAAAGGAGCAATGAAGTAACGATAGGTTTGTTTTTAAAGCACAAAAATAAAAAGAGTGGTGATTAGATGTTTTATGTATAACCTGCCTGTTCACTCTTCACTGGCGCTGTCCTCATCATCCTCACCTCTCTTCCTCCTCAGACATCTGGACTCCACTCCAACCGCTTAAGACTTTTAATCTTTTTCTTTCGGCTGCTCCTTCTTCAGGGGTCGCCACAGTGAACTAAGTCGCACGAAGACTTGGAGATTATTTTTCACCAGGTGTCCTTCCTGACGCACCCACAGCCCTCCGAGTGGAGCAGAGAGCTGCCATCCAGGGCGCCCGGGGGAGCAGATGGTGGGGGGTTAGGGGCCTTGCTCAAGGGTCCAGAGTGGGGCAGATAAGAGTGGAGGCAGGTGTGAGTGTTTCACCTTTCCCACCCACATTTTGATGTTGTCAGTACCAGGAGTTGAACCGGCGATCTTCTGATCACAAGCCCACCTTCTACCTCTGCGCCACCGCTCCCACTGTATTCTCTCCTCTTACAATCATCTGGTTCCATGTAAAGTCCGGCCTGTTGCTATAAAATAAAGTTTTTTATTTACCTTCATTTGTTTCCTGCCTCTGTGCTCAGCATCTGGAGTCCTAATCTGAAAATAACCTTAAAAAAGATGTGACCAAACACTGGATTGACTCGGATTAGAGATCAGGTCGGGGTCTGAAGTCCACTAACTGACCCAGAACCTGTGGTCCTGCAGGTTTCACAGTGTGCATTGCAAATATTTAGAGGTTTACTGTTAAATAACTTAACATATTAACTTCATGTATAATACATAATTAGCTTCACGTGTGTTTTTATTAAATATTGTAAATTATTTGTAAAAGCACAAAAGTGGAGAATGACAAGAACTGAATTCATGTTTTAGTGTAAAAACAGAAACTCTAAGAAAAACAGTTCATTAACATCTTCATACATAATGATCATCATTAGAAGAGCTGAATGATGTCCTCATCGTCATCTTCATCATTATGTCTGTGAGTTTATAAAGACTCACCTGCAGCTCTCTGCTGTCAGTGTCTCACCTGAAGTCAGGTAAGAGCTCGTTTTGATCTCAACAAAGAGTCCTGTCAGGTGTTTTACATTTAAATCAGAGGAAGTCTAATTAAACACAAAATATTGTAGAATTTATTTTGTTTTATAAAATATTATTTTACAGGTTATATTGCAGGAATTTGTGAAACGCTTTCTGTTTGGGCTGAATTAGGTGGAAGTGTTTTAACGCTTGTTTTTACAGATTGAAACCGTGCAGAGTTTTGCACATTTTACTAAAATCACAATTATCTGGTTAATGTGTTGATTTTTTTTTATTTTAATGAGTTTAATGTGCCACTTAAGCTATTCTTAATAATTATTTCAATGAATAAACTAAACTTCTTATTAATAGAAGCAAATTAGAGTCTAACTTTTTTAAGAGTTGTTTTTACAATTTATATTTGTTTTTTTTACATAAAATGATTAAAGTGATCATATTAAACTCAGGGTGACTGATAAAAACAGCTTTAAATTAGTGTTTTTTTTTTTTATTCTTCTCTTCTTTTCTCAGCTCGGGGGGAAACATGAGCTCGTCAGACGCTCTCAGAGGAAACTCCACGTCCGTTTTACAGGTTTGATGAACCTGTCGTACGTTTAAACATAAATGTAAAATCACTGAAGATGAATTATGTAATTCTGTTTAAATGTTGTATTTTCTTTGAGAAAACAACAATTCATAATAAATTTAAATGTATTCGTTGTTTGAATGACATCAAGACTAAAGGAGGAAAACTGTTGCGTCTGACAGGAAAAAGGTTTTATATGAACTCTGTATTCCAATAAAATGAGTAATTTACAAATGTGTCATTAAAATAAATTTGTATTTATGAACTCAAAGAAAATAATTATTGAATTGTCTTGTTTTTATTATTATTTTAGCTCCGTGATATGAGAGAAACTTGTGACAGACTTATGTAATCTCATTATTTATGAGCCCAAATTGTCAACATTTGCTTTCAAACAGACACGTCGTGTTTATTTAAGTTCTTCATGGTTGTAAAAAGTTTGAAGCTGTTTGTGCCCAAAGGTGGAGCTGGAGCTCCACCATGGGTCATGAACGTGGAGGTCTGGAGAGGAGCTTCAGTCCCTAACCTAGACTAAAACATCTAACTGAATTATATTTGTCATAAATGATTGGTTAAATCTGTTTGTGTTGTGCTCTTCTTTGTCTAGCGCAGATATTTACGCTCTTTTTGACTTCTCTCTTGTGAGTCCAAGGGTTAAAACTTTGGAAAACGTCATTTGAAGCTACAACCAGACAGCTGCATCTGCAACTTTCACAAGAAGAAATGTTGCATTTAGATCATTTAACTGGCCTTCACGGTGGAGCAGTAGTAGTAGCGAGCAGGTTGCCAGTTCAAATCCCGGTCGGGGGTCTTTCTGTGTGGAGTTTGCGTGTTCTCTCCGTGCATGCGTGGGTTTTCTCCGGGTACTCCGGTTTCCTCCCACAGACCAAAAACATGCATGTTGGGCTGACTGGTGAGAGAGAGAGAGAGAGAGAGAGAGAGAGAGAGAGAGAGAGAGAGAGAGAGAGAGTGACTGGTTGTTTGTCTCTATGTGTCCCTGTGATGGACTGGAGACCTGTCCAGGGCGTCCCCTGGTTCTCACACAGTGATGGTTGGATATGGGTACCAGTGACCCCGTGACCCTTACAGGAAGGTCTGTGAGGGCAGCTGCTGCGGTTCTTATTACCATCAAGCCGCGGACCGGACCTGCTAACAGAACAGAACCACAATGTTTAAAGAACATCGCTGCTAACCCAATCACACTGTAGATGTTTTTCTTTTTCAACTTTGGCGCCATGTTTTTGAGTATTTAGTAGTATTTTTTATGTTTTTTTTTTTTTTGTATGTAATGTTAGTAGTATTTTTTAACATGTTTTTTAGTATTTTTGCTGCATGCTTTGATTTTTCTTGGTGTTGTGTTTTTTGTTGTTGTTGTTGTTGTTGTTTTTGGTGATTCAAGAAGGTTCTTCTTGTCCTAAGCGTTTCATTGTGTTGTTGACCTTGTGTTGATTTTGTGTATTACAAATAAACCAAACCTGAAGAAGTGGGTAAAGATGATGGATGGATGGATGGATGGATGGATGGATGGACGGACAGATGGATGGTTTAATTTTCTACATCCATCAGGCCCTCGGGGGGACACAAAGTGTCTGTGGTTTTCAGAAACTGTATTTTGTTCCTCTCTGCTGAAGCTTCTGTCTCCTTTGTGTTTGTCTCTTTCTGTCCAGCTCGTGCTCGTCAGAGACACGTTCGCCATGGCGTTTGTGAAGAACCTGATCCTGGTTCTGGTCTGGCTCATCCTCACGTACATCAGCAGCACTTTGGTCGTCACTTTTTTCAGACACCAGGTACTCACAAAAACACACAACTGCTCAAAAATAAAAACTAATGTCTGGTTTCTGTATTCTTCATACTTGCGTTGATGAACTTCACATGTTCAGTCTTCCAAACCTGTTGTGAGTTGATCAAAGTGAAGAAAAATGTAACTTTTTGATTTATAACTGTCTTTAAGACGGAACAAATCAGACGAGCTTCACTGGAGGCCTGATTAGTTCACACATCAAACACATCAAAACATAAAGAATGATTAATTATTATCTTAGTAAAGATATCGCTGCTGCCAGCACGTGTCTTTATACTCTGTCGCTAAAAGTGAAGACAGAGAAATGATGCTCATGTCTGAGTGTGGGTTCATGTGTTTGTTTGTGTCTGTTAGCAAAATAACTCATGAACCACAAAACAGATTACAGTGAAACTTGGGCCTGTCGCGATAAACAATAAATCAATTAATCGCGTGATAAATTTAAATTATCGACCTCATTTTCATTTATCGGCTTTTTCGTTTCTTCGTGCCTCTCTCTTTCTACTGACGACACTGGATGACAAAAGGCTCAACTCTGGTGTTCTTCACTGACCCCGCCCTTTCTCTTTTCTCTTTAAAATCTGTTTCAACGATCCAAAATCACGTTTTTGGATCGTTGAAAGCAGCCAAGATGAGAAGCTAAGCTATGAGCTAAGCTAACAGGCCGACCTCAGGAAAAAAACTCTGTCTTGTCGAAGCTCCAAAATTCACGGTTGGAACCCGTGTCTTCGTGTAAAAAGTTGTTTTTCTCTGCAAAAAGAAGCTGAGAACTGGATGGATGTCATACTGATTTTTATTAAAAGCTTTGTGTGAAAATGCTAAAGAGCTCAAACCACATCGAGCATCCGCCATTTAGAGAACCGAAGAGAGACAGCCCATGTCACGTCAAGGGGCCTCCCTCCCATTTTTCTTAAAGAGACACACTGCTCGCTCCCTCACTATCCATCCTTCGGTTCAAACAGTCTTATACTGCCATCCGGTGGTCAAAAAAGTACTACACCCAAATAAAATTAAACATTTCTTCTTAAATGTGACAATAATTACTAATATTGTCATATTTCAAACAATATTATCGTTTATTGCAATAATTTCTGAGACAATTAATCGCCCAGCAAAATTTGTTATCGTGACAGGCCTAGTGAAACTTTCAGATCGTTATCATTGGACGTACGTCTACAACTGATAACCTTTGGGAGTCAGCTTGATTAAAGATGGCTGCCACAGCAAAGTACATTTAAACACAAAAACGCCCATAACTCAGTCAGTTTAACAGACACTGAGCTAAAGTTTGATGTGGTAGTAGCTTAGACTGATCAATAACTTGTACTTTGAGTGCTCTTTGATCATGTGAGATTAGCATTCTCATAAAAATGTCTCCACCTCCAGGAAGTTTCCAAATATTTAGTTAATGCTTGGTATGGTAGTAGCTGACAGTCATTCCCAACACATGCTCCGAGCACTAAAGATGGCAGTACTGTGTTGTGTTCAAGGACTAACAGGGCTGTTCTGTAACTCCATCACATCTGAACACGAGGTGATCTTAAACTAAAACTCTGGCCTGAAAGTTGGCGGGTGACGTGCATTCCTCCAAAGAATGCCAATTCTTCACTCCCAACATCTCCCGCCTTCTTCGTTTGTCCTCCAACAGATCTTTTACGATGATCCTCGTTACATCCTCTTCATCCACATGGTGGTAAACGACGGCGTCCAGCTGACGGTGACCATCACTCTCTTCATCCTCAGCTACATTTTCTACAAGATCAACGTCTCCTTCTGCTGCTTCTTCATCCTGGTGGCGGTGTTCACCACCAGGAACACTCCCGTTAACTTAGCTAGCATGGCCATAGAGCGCTACGTTGCCATTTGTCATCCCTTGCGGTACTCCCAGATCTGCACGGTGAGGAGGACCTACATGGTGATCGGGTTGATTTGGTTCATCTGCATGGCTCCCGACATAACAGACCTGTTCGTGACGCTGGCAACCGAGCCGCTGAGCTTCTTCCACGAGTCGGTGTTCTGCTTACGTCAGAACGTGTTCAAAGACGCGATCCTGGCTGAGAAAAGGAAAGCCTTCGACATCATCTATTTCTCCTGCGTGTTTCTGACTCTGGTCTTCACCTACCTGAGGATCTTGTTCGCAGCCAGGGCCCTCTCCACAGAAAGAACGTCGGCCAAGAAAGCCCGAAACACCATCCTGCTTCATGGAGTCCAGCTGGCCATGTGCATGCTCTCCTACATCTCCCCGAGCGTGGAGGTCATTCTGCACATCATTTTCCCGGGTCGTACCCTTGAGATCAGGTTTGCAAACTACCTGATTGTCTACATGCTGCCTCGGTTCCTGAGCCCGATCATTTACGGCGTCAGAGACCAGAAATTCAGGAAGTATTTCAGGATGTATCTTCTGTGCTCCAGGTGCAAGAAAACAGGCCCAGGGGTCAAAGACTGCATGTGAAACTCATTTTATTACATTCGACTGAACTCTGTAATAAATTTAAACATTTTAATGCAATAAGAACGAAGAAAACTAAAAAAAATAGAATAAAATGCACAAAAATGATAATTTGGCACGTTAAAAACTGATGATATGTTTTTTTTACTTATGAGCTGAAGATATTGAAGGTACTCACTGCAACACATGAAATCAAGCAATAAAAGTTATTCAGAAACACAATTAGCACAATTTGAATTTAAGGACAAATATTATTGATGTTAAAATTAAAGTGACTTTTCCTTTTTACTTGTTTCTTTTACGTCTTCTTGACTTTTTGACGAGCACCTTGAACTGTCCTTTAAGTGTGTAAAACGTACATGTTCAATCTTCTGTATTTGTTTGCTCAGGACGCCCTGGTCTGGCCTGTGAAGTTTAATTTATAGACTCTACGGTTTTAGCTTGTTTCACCTCCACCGTCCACGCGCACGTGTTCGCTGCCACAGTGCCAGAAAATAAAACTAATAAAAGTCAGAAGAAGTTTGGTGCGTTGTTTAATCAGTTTGTAAATCAAAGTGGAAGGTGGAGATACATGAGTACGAGCTTTCATTTCAATAAAAAAATAAGTATTTGTCGTCATGATGGCTGTGGGTTTTTGCTTTAAATCTGCAGATGTTGAATTCAGACTGGTTTTGTGTTTTATGGACCATCCAGGGAACTGGTCTTGACTATTACAGGGTCTGCACTTTAAATGCATGCGTTGAGGGAAACCATTAAATCAGCAGCTTGAAAGACATCTGGCAGTTTTACTGTAAAATGAGTCAAAATACACAGTTTAGCATCGAACAGTATGAAACTTAGTGTCAGGTCGCACATCTGCTGCAGAGTCTTCCACCAGCGCAGATGAACTTCTGTACTTTAAGAGCTCGGAGCCTTTAGAGATGATGCTACAGATCAGGTCAAAGGTCCAAACAGGTCCAAGTAGTTAAACTGAGACGGCCTGACAACAATGGTTTCTTTAAAAAAAAGCATTGAAATGTGAAAAATATTAAACTCTAGGAGACATTTGAATCATTTTAATTCATTTTCACTTCCCACAAAAGCAAAATCTGTCAACTGTGACTTTAAGACTCGTCAAAAACATAAATAAAAAATACACCAAGTTTTGTCCACCAGAGGATTTTTTTTAGAGCAAAGCAACAAAACTAACTCGAAGCAGTTAGTCTTGAAGTGGGCAAACTTCTCAATGAGATGCGGCAGCTCTGCCCACTGCGCCACCGTGCTGCCAGCAGAACATAAAACCTGCTGATGTTGGAACATTAACTGTAAAATCTTTAGTTTGTCCATTTCACTTCCTCCACTTTCTAAAAAAACACTCCGGTGTTTGTACGTGGAAACATTTTGTCAGTTGTTTGTTGATTGTTTGCGATTTTTACAGTTCAAGGTTCTTTATTGTCATTTGCATCACATGTGGTACATGAGGTGGAACAAAACCGTTTACCCAAGCTCCCAGTTACACCCAAAAATATCAATACAGTAATGTAAACTATAAAAAAGAAAGAGTATACAAGGATCTAAGATATACGCTAAACAATATAATATACGACATATTAAACAGCAGCCTGAACATGAGTCTGTTGTGAGCACATGGGTATGAATACAGCAGCTTAAAGGTAAGAAATCAGCAGCATGGATAATCAGCAGCACAGATAAAGTGACAAATCTCCAATTAAAAATGTTAAATAAGACGCCCCCATTGCGTAAATAACCAAAATCTTTAAGTTCAAGTTCAAATATGTTTTATTATCATTCGCATCACATGTGGTACATGAGGTGGAACGAATTTGTGTACACAGGATCCCAGTTACATCCAACAATAGCAAAAATGTAACGTGTAAAAAGAAACAGTAAATACGGATCTAAGATATAAACTGAGGAATATGCTGAACACTAATAGTACAGAAACACTACGCTGAACAACAGCAGCACGAACATGAGTCTGTGTGAGCAGATGAGTGTGAATGAACCCAGCAGCGTGAGATCAGCAGCAGGGATAATCAGCAGTGCATAGCACCAATCAAAGTGGCATTACAGTGATGTTTTTTTACAGTGATAATCCTGATTAGAGATTCATGAGTCTAACAGCTTCAGGGTAGAAGCTGTTCCTCAGTCTAGTGGTTCTACACTTAATGCTCCTCAACCTCCTTCCTGAGGGGAGCAGAGCAAGAAGTGTGTGTGCTGGGTGAGTGGGGTCCTTCATGATGCAGGTGGTCCTCTTCCTGCATCTGGAGGTGTAGATGTCTGTGATGGTGGGGAGACTGACTCCAACATCTTCTGTGCAGCCTTCACCACTCTCTGCAAAGCTTTTATTTCTGCAGCTGTGCAGCCTCCATGCCACACGTTGATGCTCGAGCACAGGATGCTCTCCACTGTACACCTGTAGAAGGAGGTGAGGACTGAGCTTCCCAGACCAGCTCGCCTCAGCCGTCTGAGGAAGTAGAGTCTCTGATGAGCTTTCTTGATCAGGCTGGTGGTGATGTTGCTCCAGCTGAGGTTGTCATTCATGTGTACACCCAAGTGCTTGTAGCCGGAGACCACTTCCACCGCAGATCCTCATGTTCAGGGGGGTGTAGATGTTTTTGTTCCTTCTGAAGTCCACAATCATCTCCTTTGTCTTCTTCACATTGATGTGAAGGTTATTCTCTTTGCACCAGCTCTCCAGGTGTTCCACCTCTTGCCTGTAGCTGGACTCATCATTGTTTGTGATGCATCCCACCACCGCTGTATCATCTGCAAAATTTACAATATGACAGCCTGGATGGGTAGCTGCACAATCATACGTGAGCAGAGTAAACAGGAGGGGGCTCAACACACATCCCTGAGGAGAGCCAGTGCTGAGGGTTATTGTGGAGGAGGAGAAGTTGTGGATCCTCACTAACTGTGGTCTGTTTGTTAAGAAGTCTAGTACCCAGTTGCAAATGGAGGGGCTTAGTCCTAGTGTGGATAGTTTGTCCATCAAGGTTCGGGGGATCATGGTGTTGAAGGTGGATGTGAAGTCCACAAAGAGCATACGGACATAAAAGTTTTTCTGCTCCAGCAGGGCAAGAAGTGTGCGTGCTGGGTGAGTGAGGTCCTTCATGATGCAGGTGGCCCTCTTCCTGCATCTAGAGGTGTCGATGTCTGTGATGGTGGGGAGGCTGACTCCAACATCTTCTGTGCAGCCTTCACCACTCTCTGCAAAGCTTTTCTTCCTGCAGCTGTGCAGCCTCCATGCCACACGTTGATGCTGGAGCACAGGATGCTCTCCACTGCACATCTGGAGAAGGAGGTGAGGACTGAGCTTCCCAGACTCTAAAATGTTTTTCTACAGCACTGCAGCTGACATGTCTGGCAATAAGGCTGAATGTAAACATGAATTATATCTAATAAATGTTTAATTTTGTCATCAGCTTTCATAAAGTTGGCAGTGGTTAAGAAGGTATTGTTAAAATGTCATTGTTGACAACAAAAAAAAGTAACTTTTTTTATAACTGCCTTACTTTATATTAACGGATATAAAGTTAAACTGGAATTCACAGAATATGTCAAATTTAGTGTGTAATTTGTCAATTTAGCTTCATTAGTGTCTTAAGGATTAATGGAACACGTGACGCCACAGCTCAGCTCGTCAGTCCTCTGATCATCGATGATCCGTGTGCTCCTCCACGCAGACTCTGAACTCCTTCAGCTTCTTTATTAACGAGCTGCAGGAGGAAACAGCCGATTCCTCAGCGTGAGTTCCTTCAGCTGTTTGTCTGTAAGTGAAGAACGACGCTTCTTTAGGGATGTGAACGCTTTAAAACTCAGTGCGATTAGAAAAAAAATGATAAAAACAAATGTTTCTCTCTTTTGTTTATTTAAAATGATTCATAATGAACATTTTCCGAAGCTTGTCAGCTTGTATGATTCTATAAATACTGAATTGTTAGTGCTGGTCAAACTGGACATTTGTTCGTGAGGAGCTATAAAACTGCTTTTGTCTCGTTTAATGCAGTTCTTATTTTTAAAACAGACGCCAACACAATAATGAGATAATGAACGAGGTAAGTTTATGATTTTGTGCAAGTAATTTATGTGCATCATATCAGTTTAATGACATATAATAGTTATAATTAAGATACGTGCGGAGTTAATTGTGAAGTTTTCATCCAGTCTGATTTATTATGATGTTCATCAGTTTTCTGTTGATTCAAACGTGATTTCAAACATTTTCTGGATTCTAACAAAAGACAGACGTGATCTAAAACTGTGCTGTGCAGATTTTAAACTTTTTTATATATAAATGATCGCTGTAAATGTTATTCTGAAGCTTATATCGGTGAACTGTTCCACGTGTGTCCCGTCAGACAGCGAGGAGGAGATGTTGACCTCCACCTCCTCCGGGCCCCTGGACCTCCTCTTGACTAACAGCAGCTCTGAAGGAGGCGCCGCGGCTGCACCTAAAGACAGCTTCTCCATCGCCCTGACTAAAAACACGGTGGCCATGTTGGTGTGGCTGCTCCTGAGCATCATCAACAGCAGCATGCTGCACACCTTTCTGCGACACAGGTACAAAAAAATTAAGAAAATCCAGCTGCAAAGTAAATAATAGATAATTAAATGTTTAAAATAGATGTGAATAATGTAAAACATTCACTAAATATAACGCAATTTTCTTTATTTGGATCCAATCTGCAAAGAATAACAAGGTTTAAACCACCTAACTTAAGTTTGAAGCATCTTATTTTATTAATTGGTTAACATTAATTAACTGATAATAAGCTTATTGTATTTGACAGTCTGTTCTACGAGAACCCTCGATACATCATGTTTATCTGCATGGTGGTGAACGACGCCCTGCAGCTGACCCTGGTGACCGCTCTGTACGTGGTCAGCTACATCTTCAGGAAGATCCACGCCTCCGTCTGCTGCTTTCTGGTAAATCAGCTCGAACTTTCAGTTTAAAACCCGTAAAACATTTCATTTATTTATGTTGTGCATGTCAGGGCAGTCGTAATATTTTATAACCACTGATTCTCTGCACCAAAGTTCATTAAGTAATCCAGGTATAAATCCAGCAACGTTCAGTCAGGTCATCTGGATGGTTTGTTTTGCTGCTGAGACGTTTCATCCTTCATCCGAAGGACTTCTTCAATCTGAGGAGACGCCAAACCAAACTGAATCAAGCAAACAGTGTGGACAAAAGATGAGTCTCAAAGAGCCTCAGACTGAAGAAGTCCTTTGGATGAAGGATGAAACGACTCAGCAACAAAACAAATCATCCAGTTGACCTGACTGAACATTGTTGCACTGATTCTCTGGTTTCCACACAATGAACAAAATGTACTTATTGATCAAAACTGAAACAATTATGGAACATTTATATTCACTCTTTTAAAAAACGGTTCATGTAGTATCGACTAAATATCACGACTTCTTTAAACAAGTTGTGGAAAAAATAAGAAGTCCGTATTAACCACGGCTCGACTTTAATGATGGGAGATTTGTAACAGTTTACTCAGTTAAGTCCAGATAAACTTCTTTTTTTTCCCAGCATGCAGTGTAATACATTCTGTATGATGAATAATGCAGTGGTTCTCAAACTGGGGTCCCCGGACCCCCGAGGGTCCGTGAGCCGATGCTTAGGGGTCCGCCAAAATTTTTTTTTTTTTTTTTTTAATACAAATGTAGATGTTTAACAACCTGTTAAAATACACTAAAATGCAGAAAATCACATCTACTTTATCTGAAATGTTCTGGGGGAGGAGCACTCTGCACAAAATTTACATTTTAGAAAAATTAGGTTAAAAAATAAAATAAAATCACAAATCATCAGATTATTTGAGTAAATTATGCTAATCTGTTTAAATTTGAGAACAAGCAGGAAAAAAAAGACCCATTTCATAATAATTTATGCTTTCAGGCATTTTATTAGTTATTTAATGAGGATCCTCCTGACAATCATTTTAAATTGGGTGTAAAAAGGTTTAAAGATTATTTTTTGCCTCTAAAGGAACCTTTTCTGTTTGAAAGCTGCTGAACTGATTTTTTACATATTTCTGTATTTTTTTTACAGTTTTTTATATTTTCTGACAGAAGAACAAATCTTCTCCATCCTCAGGTGATGACGGCGGTCCTCACCACCCGCTCCACCCCTCTCATCCTGGCCGGCATGGCTCTGGAGCGCTTCATCTCCATCTGCTTCCCTCTGCACTACGGCCAGGTGTGCACCGTCCGCCGCACCCTCCTCCTCATCGGTGTCATCCTCATCCTCACCGCCACTCCTCCCGTCACAGACCTCCTCATCACCGTCGTCAAAGAGCCCCCGAGTTTCCTCCAAGCCTCCGTCTTTTGTGACCACAGCCTTCTGTTCCGCCACCCGTCCATCTACTACAAGAACTGCGTGTTCGACGGCGTCTTCCTGTCCTTCGTGGCCCTGACGCTGCTCTACACCTACTGTAAGATCATGCTGGCAGCTCGAGCTGCTTCGACCAGCCTGACGTCAGTGAAGAGAGCCAGGAACACCGTGCTGCTTCACGGGGGGCAGGTGGGCGTCACAAACACATGCAGCATGGTACAGACCTGGTGGATACATATACTGGTACAGCTGTATTATAAAGTTAGACTGTGAATACCTCATACTTACCAAGTACAGGTATGTTTACTAAAGAGCACCATGTATGTTCCAGTAAGTTACCAGGTACTGATGTGGTGTATAGCATGTACATACTGGTACATACAAGTTGCAGGTACTTTGTAAATACTGGGCGCAATTCCCAAACTCGCATGGTAAGTACTGATACATAACCAAAAAGTACCAGATACCCTGTAAGCACCAGATGCCAGTCCCAGGTCCTTATCCATGTACATGCCCATTATATACCATGTGCAAATATTGTAAGTATTTAGTAAGTACTAGTTACAGATCAATTTCATACCCTGTAACTACTTTGCATGTACGTGGTAAGGACCGGGGTATGCACCTCACATACCACATACACCCAGTAAGTATCTGGTATGTACCATTTATGTATTCTGTTCCTACCAGGTAACCAGTAAGTACTAGGAATGAGCTCAGTTAAAACAAAGGAAATAGAGTATGAATCCTGTAAAAACTATGTACATATTCTATATCCATTTGCATGTGCATGCCCTGTAAGTACTAGAAATATACCAGGTAAGTAACAAGTACATACTGTGCAAGTACCACATATGTAGTTGGTTCTTAGCCCTTAGGTTACCTTGTACATATCTGGTAAGTACCAGGTACTTACAGGATTATGTTGTGTAGTACCATGGACAAAAACTGTGAAAGCATAAACGTGACCCAGAAAAGATACAAAACAAAACAAGGCCAGGATCTCACCTGATGAATGCAGAAGGTATTAAATAAATTAAATCTGTCATTTATCATCAGAATAAAATTTGCTTAATCTAAAAAAAAAAATTTTTTAACAGAAATAGGGTTTATAAACAGTTTAATTAATCTAAACTAGTTTAATCTGGTTCTGAATTAAGATATTTTTACACAATTTGCTTTTTGTTGAAAATCTTTGAGTTGGTTATAAATTATAAAATTAATAAGTGGGGTTTTTTTGTTTGTTTGTTTGTGATCAGTTGATCAACAAAATAAAAACATTTGGAAATTTCAATTAAATATAAAGAGAACGTTCAAATATTTTCTGTTGTTTAATCAAAACAAAGATGAAAACAATGTTTAAACGTTAAATTTGTAGCTGGAAAAAAAATCTGAATGAATGTGAACAGACATTTTAATTTTTTGTTTTCTTTATTTTAAATGCTTTTTTAAATTATTATTATTATTTACCTTTTCTGTTACAGGCTGTTTCTGTTGCCTGATGATGTCACTCAGTGCAAACATTTTACTTAAATTCTTGTCATGAAGGACAAGTTGTCTGAGATCTGAGTCGTTTACCGTCAGAGGCCTCGTGCTTTAAATTCATTACTTTGTTTTAATGTTGTTATTTTGTGCATGAGCCCATGAGATGAAACCTGTTGGCTGCTTCCTTTGCCTCAGCTGCTGCTGTGCATGCTGGCCTTCGTGGTTCCCTCCCTGCAGGCGGCTCTGATCTCCATCTTCCCCCAGCTGAGCACGGAGATCCGCTACATCTTCTTCCTGCTCGTCTACATCATCCCTCGTTTCCTGAGCCCGGTTGTCTACGGCTTCCGGGACGAGCTCTTCAGGAAGTACTGGATCCGGTACCTGTCCTGTCAGAGTCCGAGCATCATTCGGATCAGGCCTGTGGTGCTGAAACCTTCAGCCCAGGAAACGTGAAGCCCACACATCTGTCAGTGTCCTGCTGATGAGTTCTGGGTCCGACTCACATCGGTCCAGTCTGACAGGACTCCAGGACTCCAGGACTTGACTTGTTTTAAATTTTATTTATTTATTTTGAGTGATTCTGACTGATGAATCAGTTTAGTAATTTATTAGCAATGTGATCACTTTTACAGAATAAAACATTTTCTGATCAATAAATGCAGCACATCAAGAAAATCCACTAATGACGTCACCATTACTATTATTGTATAATTAAATATACAAAAACAGTTTTTAAAAAAATGTCAGTCCTATTTTAAATGATAATACACATAAATTATGAAATACAGTGTTAGATTTCTGCCACGCCGTGGACATGTGATCGCAGATGTACCTGTCTCATACAAAAACATTAATGTCTCTTTCTGTTTATATATATACATATATACACATATATATATATATATATATATATATATATATATATATATATATATATATATATATATATATATATATATATATATATGGAACATCAAAACTTGAAAAATGTTAACATTTCAAAAAACTTAAAAAGACAAAGAAATAGCAGGAATTTTGTTAGGTAAGATCACATATAATTTTATTTTTATTGCATATTCCACACACATCAATGTGCTTTGCATTGAAAACAAAACACTGTATAAAAAAATAAATCTACAAATTCATATGAAAAGAAAATGTTTTAGAGAGCACGATCTGGAGACATAAATGAACTAATAAGAAATAAGATGACTAATGATGGAAATTAAAACTGGGATTTTCAGAGTCGAAGATGAACAAAAGAAGCCTCCTTCGTTTGGAAGGATGATGAAGATGCTGAAGATGCAGGGAATGAAGTTTTAAATTATGGTAACACCAACTTAATCCTTATGGCTACATTTTTTTTATCCACAAATGCAGTTTCCTGAAAATTACCCCATGTTCAACATTTTTTTATGAAATATTTTTATTTAAGGAAGTGCTTAAACACATAGCTTATTTTAAGACTTGGAACTCCTCTTGCATTTGTAACATTTTTTATTTTGCTGTTTCCTCAAATTGTTTATTTTCTTTGTTAATATTTCTATTCATAATTTCTGCTTAGCTTTTTTTAACATATCAACTGTGAACATGTTTTTCTTGTTGTATGCCTCGTTATATTACGTTTTGTGTTGTTTTTTTTCAATAAAGACAAAAAAAAGGGGGGGGGGATGAAGATGCTGTAATTCTACCATGTGGCCACTAGGTGTCGCTAATGTACCGTTTAAAAAACAAACACATGACTGTTTCTTTTGTTTCGCTCTCATTTCGGAAAGTGGCGGAAAAAGCCGAAGGCTTCCCATGAGTGACGAAGACAAATCGGAGTTCAGGTGGAAGAAATCTGCCCACAGTTGACTGGTATCTCTTCCCCACAGCTCGGAGTTGCAGCAGGAGGAGACGGTTTGGTTCATTCACAGCAAGTTTTTCCTCTCGGATCCAAGTTTGAGGTTAAACCAGTTCTTTTGTGGAAGTGTAAAAGTTAGAAATGCATCATGGGGTGAATCTGACATCTGAAGATGAGGATGCTGTTCCGGTGATGAAGACAGGTCGTGACAAAACTCAGAGGTACGTCACAATAAAAACACGCAATGCACTTTTTTTAAGTATGTTTAGTTTTAGTGCGTTGAAACAGAAAACTGTGCTGCAGCTGATTCTGTTTTCAGGCAAAGTGTTAAATTATGGATCAACTTTATTTCTGTGAGCAGCTTCCTGAGAGCTCAGCATGGCTGCACCATCTAACTACACAAACACTCATCTGGCTTGTGCTTTATCAAAATATAAATAGATGCACTATTCTTATTTTATCAAACATTTAAAATCGTGTTTAAAAAAAACCCAATGATTAAAAATAGATAAATTAAAAAGACAATTTTAAATAAAGAAGTTGCATTTTCTGTAAAAAAATAAAATAAAAATGTGTGAAACCTAAAGCTGAAATGTTAAAGCTAAAGGAAGTAAAACACTAGCTAAAGGCAAGAAACAGAACAGTAGCTTAAAGCTAAAAGTAGCAAAAGTCTAAGCTACAGTGGTGCTTGAATATTTGTAAACTCTTTAAAATTTCTGCATGAATATAAACTAAAACATCATCAGATTTTCAAATGAGTTCTAAAAGTAGATAAAGAAAACCCAGTTAAACAAATGAGACAAAAATATTATTTATTTATTTATTGAGGAAAACGAGTAGATATTTGTGAGTAGTAAAAGTGTGTGAACCTCTAGGATTATCAGTTAATCTGAAGGTGACATTAGAGTCAGATGTTTTCCATCAATGGGATGATGATCAGGTGTGAGCGGACCTGTTTGATTTGAAGAACAGGATCTTCACAACTTGTTTGTGGAAGTGGATCGTGGAGGAACAAAGGAGATTTCTGAGGACGTCAGAAAAAGAGTTGTTGATGCACAAACATCTGTGAAGAGTTTGGACTCCACCAGTCCACAGTCAGACAGGTTGTGAACAAATGGAGGGAATTCAAGTTCAGGAGTGGTGGACCAACAAAGATCACACCGAGGCGTGTAACAGTCAGCGAGGTCACACAGGACCCCAGGGGAACTTCTAACAGCTGAAGGCCTCTCTCACATTAATGCTGATGTTCATGAGTCCACCATCAGAACACTGAACAACAATGGTGTTCATGGCAGGGTTGAAGGAGAAACCACTGCTCTCCAAAAAGAACATTTCTGCTCGTCTGCAGTTTGTTAACGATCACGTGGACAAGCCAGAAGACTGCTGGAACAATGTTTTGTGGACGGATGATGAGGTTTAAATGAAAAGTGTTATTTATGTTTGGAGAAAGTAAAACTCTGCAGTCCTGCATAAGAACCTTATCCCCTCTGTGGAACATGGTGGTGGTAGTTTCATGGTTTGGGCTGTGTTGCTGCATCTGGGCCAGGACGGCTTGTCATCATTGATGGAACAATGAATTCTGAATTATATCAGAGAATTCTAAAGGAAAATGTCAGAACATCTGTCCATGAACTGAAGAGAAGGTGGGTCATGCAGCAAGACAATGACCCTCAGCAGACAAGATGTTCTACCACAGAATGGTCCAAGAAGAATAAAGTTCATGTTTTGGAACGGCCAAGGCAAAGTCCTGACGTTAATCCAATCCAGATGTGGAAGGACCTGAAGCAGCAGCTAATGTGAGGAAACCACCAACATCCAGAGGTGAAGCTGTTCTGGAGGAACGGGATAAAGTTCCTCCAAATGGGTGAGCAGGTCTGATCAGCAGTGACCAGAAACATGTTGTTGCAGTTATTACTGTACAGGGGGTCACACTACGTACTGAAGGCAAAGCTTCACATACTTTTACTACACATATATGTAACACTGGATCATTTTCCTCAATAAATAAACAACCAAGTATAATATATTGTCTCGTTTGTTTAACTTGTTTCTCTTTATACTTTTAGGATGTGTGTGAAAATCTGGTGATTGTTTTAGGTCAAATTTATGCAGAAACATAAGAAATTACAAAGAGTTCACAAACTTTCAAACACCGCTGTAAGAACGGGTACAGGCTCGCTTAAAAGCAAAAGTAGTAAAAAAGCTAGTTCAAAGTTAAAAGCAGTAGGAAAAGGTTAACTAAAAGCCAAAAGACACCCAATCCCTCACTGCCCCCCGGGCGCTCACACAGCTGCCCACTGCTCCACCTGGGTCCACTCCAGGTGTGCTGGGTAAACGCAGACAACTAACATCATTGTATAGAAACATGCGGTGTTGACAACACACAGCACTTATTTAAAACCAGAGAAAAATAGCTAAAAGCTAAATAGCAGAAGGTTAGCTAAAGGCTAGCAAAAAGTAGTTAAACGCTAACTAAAAGCGTCAAAAGGCTAGCTATAAGCTAAAAGCAGCGACCTTCAGTCGTAGACTGAGACCACCGAGAGAACGCCACAGGAAGTCCTTCCTCCCAGTGGATCAAACTTTTCAACTCCTCCCCCCAATAAAATGAATCCTGCACCACAAACACTTTATTGTTTCTGTCTGCACCGGACCTGTTTTAGACTTTAAATGTCTGAATTGTTTTATATTCTCTGTTATTTTTTTGTCTTGTGTTTGTTCCTTTTGTATTGAAACTCTGGCACAACAATTTCCTGCAGGATCAATAACTTAGTTAAAACCAGCTAAATTCGAGCTGAAACTCGATGTTGAATTAGCATTCATTATTGAGTTATTATAATTCCATCATTAAGGACGTTAAATGATCAAATAAAACTCCCAGAATATATAAATTATAGGGTTGCTGTTGTTTGTATAAGCAAACAATCGCATCTTAAATGGTTTCTAAAGAAAAACATAGGGCATAGGGCAGCACAGTGGTGCAGTGGGTAGAGTTGCTGCCTCTCAGTGAGCAGTTCAAATCCTGATCCAGGGGTCTTTCTGGGTGGAGTTTGCATGTTCTCTCCGTGCATGCGTGTGTTTTCTCCGGGTACTCCGGTTTCCTCCCACAGACCAAAAACATGCATGTTAGGCTGACTGGTGACTGAATTGTCCCTGTGATGGACACCTCTCCCCCAAAGATGATGGATGGATGGATGGATGGATGGATGGATGGATGGATGGATGGATGGATGGATGGATGGACGGACGGATGGATGGATGGATGGATGGATGGATGGATGGTAAAACACAATGTAGGCTGCACTTTGACTTTTAGAGTAAATAAAAAGCAACGTCTGAAATAAACAGAACTTACAGAAAGTTCTGAATATTTTATTACAAACATTTCGTTCTGCTCGTTCTTCTGAGCAGATGTTGCACACTCCATGATTTAACTGCTCTACCTTCATCTTCGCCTCCTCTTCCTCCCATTGACGCTGTCGAACAGGAGCTCAGTCTTCATGTGACCGTATCATAAAACAGATGTTCAGCTCTAAAACCTCAAACATCCGTCGTTCAGAAACTATAAACCTTTGAAAAACATTTTGTCCTCATGAACTGGTCCAGTCTTCAAAATGTCTTCTTGTTTGTTAAAACATCTGTAAAAAAAACATACAAATAAACAGAAAAATAACAACAAGACAACGTGGGGTGAAAAGAGATGACGTATGATCACGACAGAACAGCTGCAAAATAATTACTGATCATTAAAATGCACAAAATAACAACAAGACAAAACTGAGATTAAATATAAAACTAAACCAAATATTTGAACCTTACTTAAAACAATGACATAATTCACACACACACACACACACTTCTGCAGCACCTTGCTGCTGTCAGATGGTTTTCGTCTCGCTGCAGCTCATGTGAGCACAAATGACGGAACAATCAGATTAAACTCGTTCAGTAAGAGGATTGAGGAGCGTCTCAAGTCAGATTACTCCTCTTTAAAACAACATTAGCTGAACACCTGAATCCTCGGGTCTTTTCCCACATTCTGCAATTAGAGCCTTTATAGGATTAGAGTGTCACGTTTAAACTGCACTTCACCTGCCGGCGCCGGCTGCAGCCCGTCAGTCCTGCAGGTGTGGAAACAAACCGATGTACGAGCATGGAGCTGGATACCTTCATGTGATGTTACAACATCTCACATGTTAGTGCTCAAAGTGTGTGTTGGGGGTCACTCTCAGCTACTACCACACCTGATTTTATCTTAGTAGCTGTAAAATTCAAGGGGATTGAGCCATTTTTGTGTTTACTTATATAGATTAGCTGTGGAGGCCATCTTGAAATGAGTTGACTCTAAAAGTTAATCAGTTGTATTTGCACATCTAACGATCATTGTCTGAAAGTTTTATTACAGTCCGTCCAGTGGTTCATGAAATATTTTGCTAAAAGACAAACTGGGGCTTTCAATGGCTTAAAGCCTACCTGCAGCCAGCCTGGTTGTGAGTGTCAGTGCACGGATCTGTTCCTGGACAACAACAACAAAAAAAACAGTTCCGGGACCGGAAGCACACGATCCGTACAGCTCACGTTTGACCGTGCCCCCATGGCGCCGATAGCTGCGCCCAGAATCGTCCTCTCTCTTGTAACTTAGCGGAACAACTGCGCATGCGCAGTTTTTAATGAATCTATGGATTCGATTCTTGCGCCCCAGGGGCCGGAAATACGTCACTAATCAGACAACGCTTTTGAAAGAAACAACTTAATTCATCATTAACTATTAAATATTTATCTTACACAACTAAAATGAATATGTACATATTTAAAAAATATATATATATTTTTTTATTATTTCATTTTTATTTAATTTTTTAAGTCTTCAATGTAAAATGGTGAGTGGTTCCAGTGGGTGGGTGGCGCCCGTGCGCCCCCTACTGACGAGCCACCGCTGCTGGGTGGACTTCAGCAGCTGCTGCTAAAAATCCTGTGCAATGTGTCACCATCAGAGTATGTTTACTGGGTTACTCTCAGCTACTACCACACCTATTTATACCTGAATATCTGTAAAACTGGCTTTCATCAGTTTGTTAGGATCACTTTGCTGTGGCGGCCATTTTGAATCTGGCGGCCTCCAGTTGTTAATCAGCTGTAGACGTCAAATCCATTGTATAATTTGCCAAGGGGTTCATGTGATATTTCGCTAACAGGACAGGTAAACAAGCACCAGACATGGACA